GGACAATAACTAATCCATTCTAAAATCGTGCTAAAAGTTGACAATTTAATTAAACATAAATTATGGGAGATTATAATAGTTAAAAACTAGATAATGTAAAGGGAATTGGATGAAAATTTCTGTCAAATTGATCCACCCTGAACCAATATTTTAGTGATTGAATTTTCACCCTAGCCTGATCATCATTACTAAAGTCTGTTTTGATAAAAAAACATAATCTCGATTATCCATTTAATGATGTAATTATGAATGGAAGTCGAACAGGAAATCGGAACCCAATCCAATAAACATTGCAGGCTAGCGATGCCATTTAGAGTTGATTATGGTCTGGATAAGTTAATTAATGTCTAAGTAATAAATTAGATAACATTTCAGGCCTAAAGAAAGATCTGCAATAGGCAGATTTAGCTCTTGCATAATGTATGTCTAATAATACTGTCTAATATTTAATGTCCATTACAAGTCTGTTACGTATGTTTTTGCATTTTTAAGAAAACAAAACAAAATATCAAGGGTAAATAATCTTCTGAGTTGGATACAAACAGATTTAACTAGAGACCAATCAAAATATTTTACCCAAACACTTATAGGTATTGCTGGCTTGTTTATGTCGTCTGCTGAGGATGTCGAATGTTTTCCAATTTTCTTTTCATCGTATCTTTGTGAATCGAATGGAATCAAACCATTTTATAAAATCATATTGCTCTTGAATCATGAAAGAGGCCAACAGAAATCGCATCTGAATTTCTTGTCATGTGATAGTGACCATGGGAAATCAGAAGATTTCAGAATATTTTAAGCTAGCTCAATAAACGGCTCCGTCCTGGGCCCAAGATCTGCTTACTATTATTAAACTTAATTACCATAATAAACAGAGTTACCTCCCGTTAATTGCAGTTCGGCTGAAGACACAGATTTTTGGCTGTATTAGACTAATAAATGATCTTGACCTTTGTAAATGATAGCCTAAAACACTGACGGGGTTATGCTGGTTAATTTGATATCACATGTGGGGATAGGGCGCGGGGACGAAGCTTGATGAGCGAACATACTTACATACATCTTTGATTTTATTTATCTATTTTATAATATTTTAAACTTTAATGTAATATAATCAACAGGTTAAAGTTTTAACGTATCAAACTGTAGAAAATATTTGGCAATGAAATGATGTTGTCGATAAAAACAAGAGATTAGCAGACGGTAGTATTTTAAAGTGGTAGTAGAAATAATTTACCGTTTACTAATCAGGCTTTAATCTTCTAATTGTTGAATACGCATAAATTAATTTAGATATTCTAACAGTTTAAACTCGGTATAAAACGCTCGTCAGATAATATCCTTCGATGACATCATTAAATGTAAATAGTTGCATTTAAAGTTGAACTCCGTAGAAAACGATTCTCAAATAATATCCTCCGATGACATCATTAAATGTATAGTTGTTCTGATGGACCAAAAAACCAAGGTCCCATGTACACATTGACGTGCATGTAAAAGATCCGATTGCGATTTCATAGTGTTACTTTAAGTAGATATAATAAATCGTAGTTTTTCTGTCTTCAATGTTTTAAGTTAACTAAGAATCTCTAGTCATTCTTACTGCCAACAAATTTACCCAAAATAATTGGCATTGAGAGCTGTTTTCACCAAATCTATTCTGTATGACCTTGCTTCAAGAACACATTTCTCATCAGTGTAGAATGTAGTTTTAATAATATAAATAAACTCAGAGAGAAAGAATGTGGGTGCGATTAACTTGCACAGAATAATGGAAGGATGAAAATGATTTATTTGTATCATCGAAGGTCTTTGTTAAGGGAATAATATGGAGAGTGGGTGGTAATGTGTCAGGCAATTTTTGGGAGGGCATGGGAGGTGGTATAACACATGCAAGGGCGTGGATTTGTCATAACTTTTGGTGGGGACGGACGAACCCTGGAACCTTGCGATCAAAATCATGGGGGGGGGGGGGGGACAGAGATCTATTCGCCCCCCCCCCTTCCGATTCTAAGGGTGGACCCGTCCCCCCCCCGTAATCCACGCCCATGAACACATGTGCTAATTCTCTAATTTATATTCTCTATCATAACTTTTTCTAGCCCTTCAGAGGTCCTGTACATTGGGGTGCATGTAAAGGAACCCTTGATATTTGGAATTTGAAATATGAGTAACCTGTAGTGCCACTGCTTGGGAAAAATTGACCTCATAGCACACTGTATTGTGTATGTCCATTTTCATTAGCCCAGTCAGAGCAGAACAGTAGGACGTTAAACTTCATTTAATTTCATATTACTTATTCTTTTTCTACAGAGAGTGCATTTTGAGATATTCCCCTATTTTGTGATGTTTTCAAATAGCTTAATGCACACGCTTTAGATCTTAAGGTCTGTTATTGAGTGTAGTGGTGTAGTTACAATCCCAAGCTTGTAAGTGACAAGGAACAGGGTTGCCTGCCTAACCTCATGGGTTTTCTCTGGGTCCTCTGATTTCCTCTCACTGCTAAAGACCCGTACCCGCAAGCAAATTATTGAAATATGATGTTAGTCCCAAAATGACCTGGTTTGGTTTGAGTGGACGTTAAACCCCATTTATCTTGCTCTCTCCAATTTTGTTTTGTGTTTAACAAGCCTGTGAACAGGGGATTTCTTGATTGGTTTTATTTCATCTTAAGTAGATGTGGGATGAAAGTGCCAGATTTATGAAATAGAATGTTTCCATAAATGTTTTCTAATATCGTTTAAACATGCTTATTGTCAAAAATCCAAAATTGTGAAAAGGACAACAGCTGAAAACAGTACTAGAACTTGCCAAATGTATACAAATATTTATGGCTGTCGTTTTTCTGTCTGTTCAGGCTTGGTGGCTACACTAGGGCTGTCCTGAGAGTGAAATTTGGTGTATAGGAGTAGCTTTGAACAGGGAGTAACATAGGCTAGGTAGCTTTGGACAACTGCTTCCGGTTTCAGAATTTACGGGCACAACCTAATCCACTAGTGTCATATAAAATTGTGAAAAGGACCACAGCTTAAAACTTAATAGAACTTGACAAAAATCAAAATATTTGTATATGTCCAAAAGCGGGAGACATATCCTATTCTGTTCCCTTTTGCACACTACTTGATTTAATACGCCTTTCTCCTTTCAGCATACAAGTTAACTAATCTCTTCCAGATGCTATTTCCTAAAAAATGTAATTGTAAGAAATTATTATGCAACAATTAATAAATAAACCCTTCCCATGTGAAGTAGTTTGATTTCAGAAGTCTTCCTGGCTGTTTCAGGATATGAACTACTTGACTACTTGAAATAATTCACAAACGAAAATTTGTCTCTCTAAAAAACCGACATGACCTAAAAGTACTTATTCACTATAGACACACTGGATAAATATTAGCTGTACAGATTTTCTTTGAGTGGTATATACAAATTGATATATGTGTACACAAAAACATGATATTATGGAACTCAATCTCTGTTTTTATTCAATCATCGGGGTGATAATTTAAGAGGATCCTCAACGTAACATCACTTTAAATAGTAGATGTGTTTTATATTGTGTTATACTGTTTATAAGCTATAAATATAGTCAAGGTCAGTATATGGCTCGGTTACTGGGTTATTTATTCCCTAGTCCCTGAGGAGTTGTCTCCCTTTTTAAACCCAAAATTGGTTTGATAACTACTGCACAAACAAAAGAAATTATACCAGAATAAAAAGAGATAATACAGTGAGTTAAATACGCGCCTTGATCAAAATGGGAGTGAAAAAATATTTAGTTACTGAATTATCTGTCATATATACATGTACAAATGTATTGTGGGTTTGTTCCTGAAAATAATACGATAGTTATCTCCCCTTAGACCACAGTCGTGATTTTGGCTGAAAGTTGATTTAGATACACATCCTGATCAAAATGGGAGTGAAAAAATATTTATTTAGTGAAATATCTATCCAGTATATGTGTGCAAAAGTAATGTGAGTTTGTTCCTGAACATAATACGATATTTATCTCCCCTTAGACCACAGTTGTGAATTTTGCTGAAAGTTGATTTTGAAAATATTATTTTATTACATGCACTTTTCATGCAATGTATTTGATTTAATAATAATCATTTTTAAAGATATTTTGTGTGAATTTTGAATTCATTATGACTGATCGTGTGAAAAACGATGCATTTTGAAATTATTGTGTTTTTATAGTAATACTTTATAGCTGTATTTTGCCCAAGTTAAACATATATTTCTCTTTTATTTAAAAAAAAAGAACCCCTGCTGTTTTGAAAAATTACCAAGTATGTCATATTTTGAACAGAATGCCAACAATGTTTAATCCCCACCCCACCCACTTTTGTTTTATCTCTTATGAATTTTGTATGTATATCTATGAACATTATTGAAAGATTTTTTATATATTATGAAACATAGCATGATTTTTGTTGCTATATTTGAATATTTTTTCAGTTTTAGTTGATTTTATTTAATTATATATTTATGCAGTATAAGAAATTATTTTACAAGAATATTAATTTTATATGATATATTCATACAGAATATTATTATTATTATTATTATTATTTATTATTATTATTATTACAGCATATTTATAGTGCACCCTTTCATATAACATGTTCAGGGGCACTTTACAAAGTGACAATGTAAATCACACATAAACAACAAGATTATGGGCATGTTAACGATTGTATACAGAGTCAGTTAAAAGCCTGATTAAATAAATGTGTTTTAAGTTGTTTTTTAAAAGAATACAGAGATGTACAACATCTTAAACTAAATATTCACACATTATTTTTAAGTTTTAGTTTTTAGTAAATTTTTATTTAATCTTCGTAAATAATTGAGCTGGAATATTTTTATTTTGTATAATAGAAAATAACTTGAATTATTGTAGTAGTAGTATTTCGATGCATGTTTTACGTATTCTGTGCAAATCATTAAGTGATTTTTTGAGCTGGAATATTTTTATATGACAAATTCTTTAGATTACCTATCACAGTGACTTTGAACAGAAGAAGGGATCGTACACGCAGGTTGCGGATTCGTTAACCATGCAACAACAAATGAAGAGTGCCAAGCTTGCTAGTGTGGTACATATTGTTTAGTTTTTATTATTAATCTTTTTTTTTTTTAAACCCTTTACTGCTAGCGGAGGGAAAGGGGGGAGGGGGGCAGTGGTTGACGTGTATGAGTACAATCATAAGGTCTATCATTGAGTCAAGTGGCATGGTTTCGATTCCACGCTTAGGTTAATATGTGCGCTTTTGATATTAAGGTCTGCCATTGAGTCAAGTGGCGTAGTTTCAATCCCAAGCGTGTACGTGACAAGGAGTAGGCTCGCCTGTCTAATCTTGTGGGTTTTCTCAGGATCCTGCAGTTTCCTCCAACTGCTGAAGTCCCCTATGTGCAAGAAAATTATTGAAATAAAATAGAACCTTGTGTTAGTCCCGGAATTTCACTTTTGCCTGAAACTATTGCTACCCCTCTTGTCACCTCGCCTCGTCTATTATGCCTGGTGTGGAGTGAGAAAAGATTTCAGGATCTTTCAAGTTAAGTTCTCCTTTGTCAATAATAATGACTGCAAGACTCCCTAGAAAACTGTAAAATTGCCAAAAATGTATGATACCAAGTTGCAAATAAAGTTTAAAAAGCCCAACATTTCTCTATAGGGTCATTACGTGTCAAATCACCCAATGGGGCAAATCGTACCCCTTTTGATTTTGCTGAAATTACAGGGAAATCGAAGGAAGTATGGTTTAATTTTTCAATTTCTGGGTGATGTGACTCAGAATGACCCTATAATTTGTCAGTTATGTCAACCACACATCAAAGAAAAAATACTATACCAGTGCTTGTTACTATATTTAGAATGAATAGCACTGTTTCTATATCTAGAATGAGTAGCACTGTTTCTATATCAAGAATGAGTAGCACTGTTTCTATATCTAGAATGAGTATCACAGTGGCTGTTTCTATATTTAGAACAAGTATCGCAGTGGCTGTTTCTATGATTAGAATGAGTATCACAGTGGCTGTTTCTATGATTAGAATGAGTATCACTGGCTGTTTCTATATTTAGAACAAGTATCACAGTGACTGTTTCTATATTTAGAACAAGTATCACAGTGACTGTTTCTATATTTAGAACGAGTATCACAGGGACTGTTTCTATATTTAGAATGAGTATCACAGGGACTGTTTCTATATTTAGAATGAGTATCACAGTGATTTTGAGAAGACTAAAGGCCATTATACAAGTGTTCCTGATCCCATTCAGCTCCAACAGGCCATGAAAAGCACAAAAAATCTTAGTTCGGTACTGAAAATATTTACATTTTATTTTCATTTTTATACGTCCACATTCATAATGTGAACGTATTATGCCGTCGCCCCTGTCTGTGTGTGTGTGTGTGTGTATGTATGTATGTGTGTGTGTGTGTGTGTGTGTGTGTGTGTGTGTGTGTGTCTGTGGTTCGCCTACAGGGCGCAATTCTTCATGGATTTTCTTCAAACTTGGTATACTTATTCCTTATACCCCAAGGAAGATCCCTATTGTTTTTGGTGCATGCCCGACCCCCCGGGGCAGAGCCACGCCCATTTCTAGTATTTGTTTGTTTGTCGTCTACAGGCCACATTTCTTAACTAATAATCTTGAAACTTTGCATACACATTCTTTGTACCCTAAGGAACATCCCTATCGTTTGGGGTGCATGCCCAACCCCCAGGGGCAGAGCCACGCCCATTTTCTTTTCGTGTGTCTTTGTGTCGCCTACAGGGCGCAATTCTTACTGGATTTTCTTCAAACTTGGTATACTTATTCCTTATACCCCAAGGAAGATCCCTATTGTTTTTGGTGCATGCCCGACCCCCAGGGGCAGAGCCACGCCCATTTCTAGTATTTGTTTGTTTGTCGTCTACAGGCCACATTTCTTAACTTATAATCTTGCATACACATTCTTTGTACCCTAAGGAACATCCCTATCGTTTGGGGTACATGCCCAACCCCCAGGGGCAGAGCCACGCCCATTTCCCATTTTCTTTTCGTGTGTCTTTGTGTCGCCTACAGGGCGCAATTCTTACTGGATTTTCTTCAAACTTGGTATACTTATTCCTTATACCCCAAGGAAGATCCCTATTGTTTTTGGTGCATGCCCGACCCCCAGGGGCAGAGCCACGCCCATTTCTAGTATTTGTTTGTTTGTCGTCTACAGGCCACATTTCTTAACTTATAATCTTGCATACACATTCTTTGTACCCTAAGGAACATCCCTATCGTTTGGGGTACATGCCCAACCCCCAGGGGCAGAGCCACACTTTATATACTTATTCTTTGTACCCTAAGGAACATTCCTATCATTTGGAACATCCTTATCATTTGGAGTAGGCCCTACATGCCCAACCCCCAGGGGCAGAGCCATGCCAATTTTCTTTTTTAAACTACGGAATCGGCACATTCAGGACATGCTTCCATTAATATCATTCGCTATTTTATGCCCTCATTAAAAACAATTCATTAAGTTTATACACTCATTAACATCATAGTCCCATCAACTCCATATTGATTCTTTGATTTCATGCTCTCCTTAAAACCACAGAACGCCATTTACATTTTTCAGAAAATTGTGTTAACCCAGGCCTGAATGTACATAAATTAGATTATTAAAGAAATAAAAATCAAGATCGCAACAATAAATAATTTGTAGGTTTGGATTCAATTGAATTAAATAGAGGCGTGTCAAAGACGTTCAGCGAAACGAATAGATGTCAACGGCTGGCTTAAAAGGGATATAGACGAAACGGCGCTAATCCAAAACGACCAAAACTAATGTAACCGTGTAAAGTTAAAACGACCGGATCAAAACTGTCAAAAATGTGATAGATATTTATCTAAATATACGACAATGGGTTCTTATTATAGGGCGTATGGCTCTTATTTTTTAGAACCTTGAAATGTACAAAAATGGCTCTAAAAGCAGATATTAATGTAATATGAATGTATGTAAAGTGATCTATATTCAATTTTGTAGAAAAAAAATATTGTAATTTTATGTTCCGTGAAATACGCGAACAGTTCAAATTGAACGACGTTCGTTTACGCCTACTTAATGCATTCTACAAGTTTTTAAAATATTATTTTATCGTTTGTGAATCAGCCTTTACTAATTACTTCCACATTGTGTTGTAGCATATGTTTTTATTTGTTCATTACAAAATGGCACCAGAAACCATAGGGTACATGTCTCGAGTACTGATTATAAAATGCTAATTGTATCTTAAATACAGGATATTAGGATCCTATATCTTCACGGTAATATAACAACATCAATATTGATTGAAATTGATCAATATTGAATTCTAATTTATGTTTTTAATTTCAAATATTATGGAAAATATTGAGTTAGAGCCTTAGCTCATTTGAACATACATTATTCAAGAGCTAAATTTGCCTAATGCAGGCCTTTCTTTAGGCCTTAAACGTTATATAAACTATTAATTAGACATTTATTAACATGACAAGACAAGACGATTTTCTACAGATTTGAATCATAGGTGCTGTTCAACGACCGTTAATGATTAACCGCAATTGTTTTCGTTAGTTTTGACTTTGCACAGTTTTTCATTTTCTGTTGAAGTGGAACAAATCGCTTAACTCGGTAACTTTTACAGAAAAAAAAACTGTGTAAAGTCAAAACAAACGGAAACAAAAACAATCAAAAATCAAAATTTTAAGAAGTTTTCCGCAAAATATAAATAGCACATGAAGAGTATGAAATTGATAAATCATGATATTAATAAATGATATCAATGCGTGTATGAAGTTGGTGGGAGTATGAAGTTAATGATAGTATGAACTTTATGATTTTAATGGAGGAATGAACATAACGAATGATATTTATGGCAGCATGACATGAATGTGCCGATTCTGTAACATAAAATTACAGCAACACCAAACATGCCATTTTATTACCCAATTTGGAAGTCATTTTGAAAAGTTTATTTTCAACATATTTCGTCTCTAAACACACTTTTCGTTTGAAGAATTAAAAACAAAAAAACAAAACTAATTATTCTGTCACCTCTTGTTAGATGTTATGGATTTTGTAAAGAATTTGATCATCTTGAAACTTTACATACTTATTCCTTATACCCCAGTATCCCCGGTTGTACGTGACAAGGAGTAGGGTCGCCTGCCCAACCTCGTGTGTTTTCTCCGGGTCCTCCGGTTTCCTCCCACTGCTAAAGACCCCTACGCGCAAGCGAATTATTGAAATAAAATTAAGCCATATGTTAGTCCCGAAATGACCTAGTTTGTGTCGAGTGGACGTTAAACCCCATTTCTCTCTCTCTCTCTCCCTTATACCCCAAGGATGATCCCTATCGTTTTTAGTGCATGCCCGACCCCCAGGGGCAGAGCCACGCCCATTTCTTGTATTTGATTTCTTAACGTATCATCTTGAAACTTTGCATACTTATTCTTTGTACCCCAAGAAACATCCCTATCGTTTGGAGTGCATGCCAAACCCCCCGGGGCAGAGCCACGGCCATTTTCCTTTTGTATGTCTGTAGGCCACAATTCTTAATCAGTCGTCTTGAAAATTTTTCGTATGAAAATTTTTTTCGTATGATGATCTCTAGTGTTTTAGTGCATGCCCGCTCCCATGTGGCAGAGTTATGCCCATTTCTTGTATTTATTTGTTTGTCTACTAGACCGCATTTCTTAACGTACCATATTGAAACTTTGCATACTTATTATTCCTTCTATCCCAAGGAACATTCCTATTGCTTGTGGTGAATGCCCCCCCCCCTCCAGGGGCAGAGCCACGACCATACTATTTTCGTGTGTCTGTGTGTCACTTACAGCCCGCAATTCTTAATCGATCGTCTTGAATACATTTTTAATACTTGTTCCTTATACCCTAAGGCTAACCTCTCTTATTTTTGGTGCATGTCCGATCCCCTGGGACAGAGCCACGCCCAATGTTTGTGTGCTTTGCGTTTCGCCTATAGAGGAAGGACGACAACTGCATGTCACGCCCAATTTTTGTGTGTTTATCGTTTACAGGCCGCAATTCTGAATGGATCAACTTGGTACTTGGCATATGTATTCCTTATAGCTTAAGGGCGTGAAATATTGATTTTGGTGAATGCACCGACCTCCAGGGGCAGAGCCACGCCCATTTTTTGTGTTTTTTGTCAACAGTCTGGAATTCTAAATGGATCATCTTGGAACTTTGCATATTTAAAGACAGCAACTATTTATTTTGGTCCATGTCCCGACCCTCTGGGGCAGTGTCACGCCCACTTTTTTGTTAATATTTTGTCTGTAAATTTGGCCATTACATCCATTTCATATTTCATTCTCTTCATTTTAAAAAGTACCATATCAAAAAAGCAGGAATGTGGACGTATATTGCAGCGTTAGCGATGCTCTTGTTTGTTTTAAATTAAAAACAATTATTTCATTGGATTAGAAATAATATTAATGTCAAGAGAGAGTTGTTCTTAGGATTAGAAATTTAATCGTATTTTTAACTTTATGAAATATATTTATAAACTTTAAGCAAAAGGTGGATTAACTTGTAATTTTCTATTTTAAAATGATATGTCTAATGTTCAAGCTTTTTAATAATTTTATTTGTTTTGTATGATCTTGATATTGTTTGTGTCTTTGTGGTTTTTTATCTGTCTCTACTGAAAGTCTAAAACTTTAATTTTATAATTTTTCCAAGTTGAAGATGCCTTATGTAAGATTTAGATAAAGTCAAGCTGTCCGTTTTTAGTATAATAGTTTGAAAATAGATAATTCAGAATTAATATATTGAAAATTTCTGAGTGTAGCATAGCCTGGATTGTCATTGATACAATAAAAAACGCAGTCTTGATTTTCCATTTTAACGTTAAATTTGAATCATATGTTAGTCCCAAACAGAAATGATCTAGTTTGTGTAGAGTGGATGTTGAACACCATCTCTCTCTCTCTTTCTCTCTCCGCGTGGTTTCCCCTTGTCAGTGATGCAGGACGGAGGGCCTGACAAGGACAGCTGTCTAGTCATTCGGATGAGACGAAAAACCGAGGTCCCGTGTACACATTGGCGTGCACGTAAAAGATCCCTTGGCAGTTGGAATTCGATATAAGAGTAGGGCGTAGTGCCGCTGTCCGGGCAAAATTTCCCCTCATAGCTTACTGTATGGCGTATGCCCGTCTTCATTAGCCCAGTTCGGAGCAAAACAGTAGGACGTTAAACCTCATTTCATTTCATTTCTTTCTCACTCCCTCTTTAAATAATAATTTACCGGTATATAATATTTGAAGCCAGAAAAAAAAGACTTGCAATAGATAGCTTTTGGTCTTACATAATACATCTTTAAGCTTTTGTTGATTCCCTGTATTTTTACCTCAACCTGATGTTGCTACACCCGTACTTTCCAGCATGATTACAAAGAAGACTTTGAAAAGAATATTAAGGGTAGTTACACGCAAGTCGAGGATCCTTTAATTCTTAAACAGGCGATGAAATCGACCAAAAACTTGAGTCAGGTATCTCGATGTCGCATGATAGAAATAACGAGACAGTCTCACTAATACAGTATAAACCTAGAAATAGATCCAGTTGTTAATTTTGATATTTAAATCGAAAAATTCCCTCCCCATCCTTCAAGAAATTGACAAGAATATTTCCACCAAAATGATTTGATGTTTAGATTCCCTCCCCTTTTGTTAATTTAAGACTTTGTCAACAAAAACATTTCCTCCTAAATGCGTTACCTTTAGTTTTAGAAAACATTTGTTAGTGTGATGTCAATTTTATTACCCAGTCAAGACGAAAGCTTTAGACATCAATTTTATTACCCTGTCAAGACGAAAGCTTCCAATATCAATGTTATTATCCCATCAAGACGAAATCTTCTAGTTTAAGATTCCATTTATTTATTCAATATATGAATAGGGACTCCATGGTGGGGGGTTGGATGGCCGAATGGTTAGCACGTGTGCGCTGTATCATAAGGCCTGTCATTGAGTCAACTGGCGTGGTTTCAAATCCCTGGTTGTACGTGACAAGGTGTAGGGTTGTCTGTCCAACCTTGTGGGTTTTCTCCTGGTCCTCCGGTTTCCTCCCACTGATAAAGACCCCTACGCGCAAGCGAATTGTTGAAATAAAATTAAACCATATGTTAGTCCCAAAATGACCTAGTCTGGGTCGAGTGGACGTTAAACCCCATTTCTCTCTCCCGAACTCCATGGTGGTTCAGTGAGTAAGACTCCTAGCTCACTAACCAAGGTGTACTGGGTTCGACCCCAGTGTTGGCTGAGAAAATTCCTCAGGGATTTTCCTGCCTGCCTTTTCCCCTTATCAGTGATGCAGTATATCCATATAAAACAGAAGTTGTCTCGGATATTATTAATGAGGGGGCTAATTTAAAACAGTTTTCAAACCTTGTATGTTTTTTTTATCCAATCATTTTTAGACAGCTAATAGATTAAAGTTTAAAAAGACAGTCAATGGTTTTAATAAAAGTAAAAAAAAAACGTTTTGTTTAATTCTTCCACTTAGCACGATTACAAAGAAGACTTTGAAAAGAACAAAGGAAATTATACACAGGTGGAAGATTCGTTAAGTTTAAAACAGGCCATGAAATCGACCAAAAATTTAAGCCAGGTATAATTGTTGTCGTAGTTGTATTTAGAAATAACAAGTATAGAATATGATATATATATATAATATGTATTTAATTATCATCCAGGCAGAATATATTCCAGAGGTTTCAGTAAATGACCACATGATAAAATTTTCCCGAAATCAGTCGCCCCCACCATGAGTTGTCTCTGGTTTCTCTTATATTTACATTCTAAGAGCCACATGCTACACGTTTCGGTGAAAAACAGTTTTCTTGAAGATTTTCAGGATAATAAATCTGTTTGATTTGTATTATCCAATATTTCAGCGTTATACTACCTTGTCTATTCTTTGTATCGACATTTGTTTGCATCTCTTGATACAAATATTTATTATTCTAAATATTCTTTTTAATTTAGTAATATTGAATTTTATTTTAACGTTATTTGGTTCGAAATGTATGAATAGCTGTATACAGGCTTGTCAGATTAAAATTCGTATTTTGGGGGGAGGCGCTTCTAGCATTGCTATCCAAAATGGGATTTGCAAGCGAAAAAACGCCTCCGATACTGACAGGCCTGTTTGAAATAAATATACAGTGTTCATATTTGAATTTGCATAAAATTTGCATAATATTAATATATGATGCATTTTATTATATTTTTTTATCTTATTGTTTTGTTTTATTTTGTGTTTTTCCCCTTCATCTTGAACCCTATCCTACCTGATTTTTACCTGATACCAGCATGAGTACAAGGAGAATTTTGAGAAAAACAAAGGCAACTACACTCAAATACAGGACCCACTTGTTCTAAAACAAGCCATGAAAAATAGCAAGATACGAAGTGAGGTACATGGTCATATTTAAATATAATATTAAATTAACGATCCATGATTTGCTAGATAATCTCCCGCCTTGATTTCAGTCGGATTTAAAATAGGCTCAGCAATTTGGTTCTCAACAAATAAAGATGGCGGTGTGCATGTTATGATGGATTTTTTCAATTGGTCATATCTTTGTAAATACTGACTGGAAATGAATCATTTTTGGAATGATATTCATATTAGAGATTCAACTTTCACAATATTGTAGCGCTAAATCACGCTCCGGGGTATTAAACTAGGGTTAGAGTGCTAAGTCACGCTCAGGGTCATTAAATTAGGGTTTAGAGTGCTAAATCATGCTCAGGTTCTTTAAACTAACTAATGAAATGGGATTTATTTTCAAAATAACAATTTATTGCATTAGAATTAAACTTTGAAAATTGATATTTAAATTTAATATAATTGTCATATTGTCGTCTTGTTCTATTTGGGCTTAATGTCAACTTCCAGCTAGGGTGTTATCTTGCGGACAGCATGATATTGTAAAAGTTAATTCATAATATATGAACCTTTTTATTTAGCCATATATTTTATTTTATGAAATTAAACCAAAATTAAAAATGTGAATTTTCCTTTTATTGGAACTAATCTTTAAATAAGCATGTTTGGTATGATTTTTTATTCTTAAAATGGTTAATTAATGGAATAATATCAAAATATTATTAATTTATTTTACTAACCAAAATAATGTAGCATTCTTATAAAGAGGAATTTGAGAAAAGTAAAGGATCGTACACAACGGTCGAAGATTCCCTCGACTTACAACAAGCCAAGAAAAGTACTAAAGTCCAAAGTGAGGTACTTCAAAATCTGATAAATTTGAGTTTTACTAAATGCTGCTTACACAATTTTATTATCTTAAGTTGGGTTTAACTTGTATTATTAACCGAAATATGACAATAATTATGATAAGTGAGATTTTATTAGTTTTATAAACAGGAATATTCAATGATGATGGGAGACCGTATAATCCCTTCTGAACAAAAGTTTTAAACTAATGCTAGGTTCTCAGTGTTGTGTGTGCGTTACGATAGGATTGTCCCTGTTGAGTCCACGATCTGGTACGGGCAGATACGTTCGGATACGATTAACGACTGATCGCAATATATGATAATATCTGTTAAGATCACCATGATTTTAATCGTAGTATGAAATGTGATAGTGGGAACCTAGCGTTAAGTAAAACTGTTACTAATATATTTAGGTGTTGTTTCAAGGAATATTATCTCAAAGTTATCAAGATAAAGAACGGAAATATATCAGACTTGGATCTTGGATCATTTATCAGTCGTAACTATGGAAACATACACTTCTTATTTTCATAACTAATTTACACATTGTAAAAACGGACAGTTATATGGATAACATTCACTGGATTTATTAACTGCAACGTTTCAATGAGAATGCTCTCACCATTATCAAGCAATGATACATAAAATATACATAATTTTCACAAATGTAGATTAATTTGTAAAAAAATTATTTTTTTTATATTTTACGTTTAACTTTTAATTGTTTAACTTTTAGCATTCGTATAAGGAAGATTTTGAAAAATCCAAGGGTGCATACACATCAGTTGAGGATTCGGTTGCCATGCAACAAGCCAAGAAAATCAGTAAAGTTCAAAGTCAGGTATTGAAAAAAATACCAAAAAAAACCCAAAAACAAAAGGGAGATTTTATTTGTTAACCGATGAATATTTTGTTGAATATGTAAATAATTTTACATTATAAATAATTTTAAAAGAATGGATTTTAAGAAAATAAAAATTCATCAAATTCTTTTTTACATAATCTAAGTGCAGGAGTATTGATAACAAAATTTTCCATAAAATTAATTTAAGTGATTTGGGGTAATAAAACAGTTGACAAGTTAAATACATTTGTTTTATGGATAATATTTTGTCTTTTAAATGAAGCATTCATATACAGAAGAATTTGAAAAATCCAAGGGTTCGTACACACTGGTCGAAGATTCAGTTGCCATGCAACAAGCCAAGAAAGTTTCTAAAATTCAGAGTGAGGTATATTGGCTTTAAATATACAATTGATAGACGGGATAATAATTAATTCTTACATGCTTAAAGCTGCTGATAGTCATTTACATTTATCGGACGATGTCTAATGTTATAAAAGAAGAGGGGGATCACATGGCTAAGTGGGTAAGACGCTGGCTCCCTAGCCTAGAGGTCGAGTGTTCAATCCTTGCATTGACCAAGAAAGTTCATCCAGATTTTCCGGCGTGGTTCCCCCTTGTCAGTGATGCAGGACGGAGGGCCTGACAAAGACAGCTGTCTAGTCCTTCGGATGGGACAAAAAACTGAGGTAACAAGTACACATTGGCGTACACGTAAAAGATCCCTTGACAGTTAGAATTCGATATAAGAGTAGGCTGTAGTGCCGCTGTCCAGGCAAAATTTTACTCATAGTGCGCTGTATGGCCTATGCCCGTCTTCATTAGCCCAGTCGGAGCAGAACAGTAGGACGTTAAATTTCATTTCATTTCATTTGTCTAATTATACAAGTCTTTGTTCATGAGGTCGCCTGTCCAACCTCGTGGGTTTTCTCTGTGTCCTCCCACTGCTAAAGACCCCTATGCGCAAGCGAATTATTGAAATAAAATTAAAAACCATATGTTAGTCCCGAAATGACCTAGTTTGTTCATGATGAAATATACTTAAACTGATTATTTAACATCTAATTAAGAAAAACAAATCAAAATATCAACGAAGATGATGTCTCGGATTAAAAATAACTCCATCAAAAGATTGTACTGGCAATTGTTTATATGGCCGATGTTTTTAATTCATCATATCTTTGTAAATACTGACTGGAATTGAATCATTATTGGACTGATATTCATATTAGAGATTGAACTTTTACAGGGAAGTCGTAAAACTCACAATTACTCACGAGACTATCAGCCGCTTTAAGTTTGAACAGATTGGTAATCAATATTCCATTATTTAGGGTAGGTTCTGATAATTGATGAAATTTAAACAAAAAAAAAGAAATTATTTAAAAAATTTAAAAAAACATTTTTTAAATCGTGAACCATAAATTGTTTAAGTATATGAAAGAATAAAACAATCTCTTATGATTATTCTATAGCTTTCATATAAAGAAGATTTTGAAAAATCTAAAGGAGCATACACCACTGTTGAAGATGACGTAGCGTTAAAAAATGCCATGAAAAATACTAAATTACAGAGCGAGGTACTTCTAATTTGTTGTTTTGTTTTGGGGTAATTCCAAATATTGAGAGTAAAAATAAATTTTATGAAAATTAAGACTTGTCCTAGTGTCAGAGATGTTGAATAAATAACTTATCATGTAATAATTTTTTATTTAGTTTTTGGAAATTCCGAATGATAATAGTTTTTACAAGATTTATTTCTGATTCCATTTTCCTATGACGTGATGTAGGTGATGAAATAAATGATTATAATGCAAACCAAGTCAAGAAAAAAAAATTAAAAAAAAGGATAACAATAATTTATTATAATTGATAGTTTAATAACAATCTACTAATTAATTAATTACTAATTAATAAAAAACTAATTAATAAGAGATTTATCTATAGCATAATTATAAAGAAGATTTTGAAAGAAGTAAAGGGGCGTATACATTTGTCGAGGATGCGGTGGCGCTACAACAAGCCAAGAAAAACACGCAAGTTCAAAGTGAGGTACATACATATGTCAATTAAAACTTCTTAAAATACAGATGTAACGTCATCCTTAGATATTATGTCAGATAATGTACAGGCAACTGGCTAATCGTACATTATTTATACTAGATTAAATATTGGACTCGCGTGTCTATGTCTATATTTTAAGTTGTTTAACAATCTCGAGCCAGACATTGGCGTTACATATTTATAAAACACTCAGACTAACTAACGTCCCTCGTGTTGTTTCAATATATTACGTAATGTCTTGCTCTCGACCATTAAACCACGCTTAGCGATAGACTCAAAGGACTGTCAGGGATAAGATAATTCTATTTATAACTTTACAGCATTTTATTCTATTGTCGTGATGGCCAGTCGTTGAAGTATAAAGCGGTTCTAATGGACTCAAGATCAGAGTATCCTAGGTTAATCAGAAAAACAAATAAAAGATCCCTTGGCAGTTAAAAAATATGGTTGCTTAGACAAAATTTAAAATACAATGCCTTAGTCTCAAAATGATCCAGTTGGAATTCGATATAAGAGTAGGCGATAGTGCCGCTGCCCGGGCAAAATTTCCCTCATAGCACACTGTATGGCGCATGCCCGTCTTCATTAGCCCAGTATAGGCGCAGAACAGTAGGACGTTAAACCCCATTTCATTTCATTTCTCAAAATGATCAAGTCCGAAATTCTTGTCCAAATTTTATAGTCTCCAGTGACCTTACAAACATTGGAGTTTGTTTTAGAATTTAAAGCCAGTGTCTTGACGTCAATGTCACTGTCGTTAGCTCTGACATCCATCTGCCCTATATTTATACCAGTTGCCCTACAAATCACAAAATCCAACCTCCACCTTTTTTTTACCGTGCAGTGCTAAAAGTGTTTCCTTTGTATCCAGGGGCCTTATTCAAAAAATATGAACTCAAATATTTTAACGATGCTACTCTACCTTTTGATTGTTTGACGGTTAAAAATTGTAAAATCCTAGTACAGATTTCAGCTGCTTGTTTAAAATATTTTAGTTTATTTCTCATGAATAAGGCTTTATATAGCTTGAAACTTTATATATCTGAAAGTAGTTCAGCCAGCATTCTGTATTGTTATCTATCTATTATGCTAAGTTCCCACTGTCATGCGATTCATTACGATAGGATTTTCCTTATTGAGGCCATGATCTGCTACATGCAGATGCTTTCAGATACGTTTCGATACAATGAACACGCTTGCTACGACTGACCTCAATATATGAGAAGACCTGATAGGATCACCACGATTACTCCACGATTTCAATTGTAGCACGAATCCTGATAGTGGAAACCTGGCATTAGAGGGTATATATTTTGTATATTTATGACTTTGTGCATTAAACGATATATTGAGAATGGTAGATATCTATGACTTATATCTGAATCATATCTGATATGACCTGAATCATGTATGTTATATATTATTGTAGAACTAATGAACTAAATAAAGCAGGGCTCTTATTTCAGGGATGTTCACTGTAAATTGACCAGTGGGTCCCTAGACTTTTCGGTCAATTTTGAACACAATCGGTAATGACCGACATGTATGGCTATGTTAGCACCCATGGTCGAATAAAAGATTGTTACAAACAGATTGGGTTTAAGAATACCAATTTTATCTGATACTTAAAACAGAATAAAGACTAAAAACATTAATTTATGTATTCAAGAATTGTTACTCAAAACTGTTATGTAAAAACTCGAAAACCTTGTTGGTAACTTTATGAAATGAAAGCCCTGCGGATCATGTTAATAAAAGATAATCGAAGGATTATTTTATGGATATATTAGGTAAAATATAAGGATGATTTCGAGAAGAATATAAAGGGGAAATGTATGCAGGTTCCTGACGCTTTAAGTATGCAGACGGCATTGAAGACGACAAAAACATTGAGTGAGGTACAAAAAAATGTAGTAGATTTAACAGTTTTATACTAACATAATTTTGTCCGTGGCCTGCAGAGGTTTGTTAGGATGCCTGGGGCCATGCTCTCTCTGCACTCTACTGACATTTGTAATAATTAATTAATTAAAACATGAGATGATAAACATATATTTTAATTATATTATTGAATCGAGGGTGAATGATTCTAACATCATTTATAAATGTTAAATTTAGCGTAGTACAAGCTGAAACATGAATATTATTATCAACCTTTGACCGTCTCTGTCCTGTATAAAGTGGATAGGTGATTCGTATTATGGGGTCTTGTTGGGTGCTGTATGCTCTAACGTGTGCCTCTTATATAAGGGCTTTCACAAAATCAAGGGTCACAGAAATGATCCAATAAATGACAGGTTTCCTTTCGATATCAATCCGTATCGAAAAAAAATTCTAAGATTTGATTTTGCTCCCTCCAGTCTAGTCTATGTTTTCTGTAAATAGTTTGTATGTTCACATCATGTTCTAATATTTTCTCTCTCTTTAGAATTATAGTGAGTCGAAAAACCCATCTCTCTCTCTCTCTCTTTCTCTCTCTCTCTCTCTCTCTCTCTGTAAATAGTTTTGTATGTTCACATCATGTCCTAATATTTTCTTTCTTTAGAATGCCTATCATTATAGTGAGTTCGAAAAACCAGGAGTTGCGAAACACACGCCAGTGGCAGACTCTTTAGAAATGAAGTTACATCAGAGGAATAAAAAGAATGTCAGCATGGTATCTATCAAATACGGTTCATTTATCCAAATAAAATTTTTATGAAAACAGATTTTTTTTATTTGATGGAAACAAATTGATGAAAATGGATTTTGTTTATGAAAATGGATTTATTTGTTTTGTTTTTTTAATTCAAAGCATTTTTCTTTAATCTGTATCATTTAAACAGCCTTGTAAATACAAGAAGTATATTATAAAACTATTTCTACATGAGTATTACTTTCTGTAATATTAAATAAAAACAATCTGGTCAAAACACAGATCCTATTTTGTTTCGTTTTTATAGTTCAAAATTTCGTTTTACTTGTCTTTACTACACTTGGATCTGGAAGACTTGTTATTTAACTCGTGTTCTGCTTGAAATGAGGGGTCAGCCAATCAAATGGTCTGTCGAATCGAGTGTTTGACCTTTTTTGCCCGGAACTGTGGGTAATCCACTAGTAACATCAATGCTGATTGGTTAATCAAATGTCTGACATCATAGGGTCATAAGTCGGTCTTTTGACCCCTGACGTGACCTATCGCTATAACTTGTCAGATCTTCATATAGTGTAGGCCATCGAAAGTATAAAAAAACAAAACGAAATATAGATCTGTATTTCAATCAGATTGAAATTAAAAAAAAAACATAGCAAAAATGTTACCATGTGTCAAAACATCTTAGAATTAAACTCAGTAATTGTGTATCCATAAAATTTTACCTTGTGTTAATATGTTCAAGTACTAAATGCCAATCAAAGAAGAAACCAGTGATTGTTTTCTATATAAATTGTGTTGTGTTTTTTAAATACGAAAGATCTGTTGTGTTTTAAAATGGTTATTTCAATTTCTATAGGTAGATTATCATAAAGAAATAGAACAAGCCAAATACAAATCAAAACCTGGAATGGATGATGATGGGGTACAGTAAATCAAGTTTTTTTCGGCATGGATGTGTGCTCATGTTTTAAATTTAACCATTTATTGAGGCATGTTAGCTTTTGCCTAAATAACGTCAAATTGCAGGTGAACGAATTCACTGGAATCATAGAATCCTAGTCAATTCGTGCGAAAATCAATAATTAGGCGATTGATTTTATCCTGGAATAAATTTTTGAATGAAGGTTACTTTTTGCTTCATCTTGAACCTTCTCTTTATGTGGGGCTCAGTCACAAGGGGTAACACTTAGCTGGATTTGCATGAATTTACACATGCGTATGTGAACTTTAAAATAACAGAATGTTACTACATGTAGGGTGTGCAAGTCTAATTTATAGATTACTAAAATTCATTAATCATCTTCACTGACATTGACTAACGGATATTGTTGTCATTAATATTTAGTCCAAATATCTTGTTCCAGATTGTACCAGTAAAAAAAGAACAAAAGGTGGAGAACAAAAATAATTTGTGCATTCGTATTTGTGTAACTATGCGATTGCTCCGTATTGGTAAGTATTTAAGTATGTACAATTCCAAGAAGAATAGAATGTACATAGGTAGAATTATTGTTAGTCAATCAGAGAGGTGTTATCAAGTGTTTTGAAGTTTTTGTGATATGTTGAATATATTGTATTTATGAAATAAAATAAAAAATTATAAAATCTTCTAAATCTTCTGTGGTTTTTTTCCGACACACGAACTCTCGTGTACCGGTATAACTTGGTCACGAATCCATCTGATATATTTTCTTTTTTTTTTTTTACTTTTTTTCTCAATGAATCTTTAATAACAAGACCTGTATTTAATTTAATTAATAAAAAAATTGCAAAACAAAGTAGTTGTTGTTTTTAATGTTTTAAAGGGCCGCTGTCATCCCCGATTAATCGATGTTTCTTTAAACATTATACTGAGCAGATGTATAGCGGAAAATTGTTGTCTGCCATATAATTATCAGAATTCAACATTATGCTGTCCTAAATGAAAGGTTTATATCCTTTAAGATCCAGTTTTAGAACTCGTTTCACACTTCCAATTTTAGGTACATGTATGTATTATTATGTGGGTCCTAGTTACCGGGTCACCACACCACACACAATGGACACTTTTTCTGATTCTATTATTATGATATCAACGACACAGTTTGATCAGGATCATATAAACCAATGACCAATAGCAAGTTTTCTTTATTTGGGTCTCTGATCATTGGGCCATTCCCATACTACTCTTTTAGCGGGACATGATAACTGAGTCATCTATGGGACCTGATTACTGGGTCATCAATGGGACCTGATGACTGGGTCATCAATGGCACTTGGTAACTGGGTCCAATTTAATTATTAGAATATGTATAGTACAAATAGGCTCAATATACTGGTGACCATACAGACCAATTGTAAAATGGTTCAAGTATTTTATTTAACATAAACAATTACTTGCCGGCCATTTCTTAGCCAATGAAAAGACAGTTGTATGCAATATCGTCAATGGATTTTTTGGGCTAGGAAGTGCGGCTCTTCTTCTTCCCAAAGGCAACGCTCTCTTCGAAGAACGAGCCTAAGGCTCTGCCGATACAAGTACGATCGACATGTAGCTTGGCATGCTTGTTCCTTGGACAGTTTTTTATATGACGTCACAATTCCATAAGGGCAACATGACGTCTTCTCAGTTTGATATGATGTCACATTTTCACAAGGGTGACATGACGTCTTCTCGGTTTGATATTTTGACGTCACAATTTCACAAGGGGGACATGACGTCATATTCGGTTCCTGATCTATATGAGAGAAATAATGTGGGGTTTTGTCTTTCTTGGACATGTCACTCTTCATTTTCATTCATTGCATTTGAGTTGTAAATGTGTCTCTTTGACTGTAGTTAATGTTTGACTTAGTGACAGTAAAATGATTTGGAAGTCGCAAGCCATTGTTTACGATGTATGAAAAAAATTGTTGAAATAACCTAAAAATATGAATAAAATACAATTTGATTTATTTGTCTTTTCTCCGGGTCCTCCAGTTTCCTCCCACTACTAAAGCGAATTATTGAAATAATTGTGTCGAGTGGACGTTAAATCCCATTTCTCTGTCTTTTTCTCCTGCTTTATTTGTCAAATCTAAACTTATACTTTTATCCTGAATCAACAGTATTGTTCATATCGTAAAAGATTTGCGACTTCCAGTTCATTCTGCTTTCGCATGTCACAAATGTTTGACTCAGTTGTTATAGACAGATATAAAAGCATGTGTTTACATGTGTAGTCGACCTTGTTTTTTACCTGTTTTTACCTGTTTAGACAGCCATGTTTTTACCTGTTTAGACAACCATGTTTTATTGTTGTTTATAGATAATTAACTCTTTATTAAAGATATTTGTTTGTTTTATACCTTGACAGCGTGGTTTCAAAATTATTTGTTGTTCGTTTTGTTATTTTTGTTGTTTAGATTTACCTTATTAATTTGTTTTTTGTTGTTTATTTTGGGGGGGTGGCTGGGTATTAATTAATTAATTTATCTTTTTGCTTTAATTTTTGGTGCGGGGGAGGGGTATTATTGTTTGCTTAATCTTTTTGATTATTTTCAATTCTTTTGATTCAGTCAGTTCTTTTATTGATCCTCCTTTTTTTCTTTTTTTTAATACCCTTTCTTGATTTTTAAGATTTTTTTTTTTTCTTTTAATCTAATATTTTTTCTTTTTTAAACTTGAAAATGATTAGTGTTGGATTTTCTTATTAAAATATTTCTGAAAGTTATATGAAAGGCAGAAACTAGAGTGGTCAACAATGTACACGTGTGTACCGTAGAAGATTTCTTGACAGTTGGAAATCGATTAGGAGTAGGTGGAAAGCTGCTGCCTGGGCAAAATTCTCCTACCTACATGTAACAATAGAAATAAAAATTGTCATGATTGTTTCAGATGAGACATTAAACCACATACCATTAACACATTTAACAAGCAATTTTCTGCGGGGAAAGAGTGTCGAATATTGATTTCTTAATATTGAAAACAGAGTTCTTGTCAAATCTGTTGATAGTGAACATAAATTGGTCCCTTAGCAGTTTGAATTCATCGCTCTCCTGGCTGGATTCTCCCCTTCGCATTACACAACATACATGTATAACCATCAAAAAATAAAAATGACTATATTGCCTGAATATATTTCATGCTAGTAAATTAGATTAATTAATTGTTTTTTTCTCTCTTCTAGGTTAGCTACCATGCCGATTTTGAGAAACTGAAGGGCAAGAAGACATCTGTGGTCAATGATCCAGAAACAGACAGGATTCGTCAAAATACGGCCATTCAGAGTAACATCCAGTACCAAAATATCGCGGCTAAAAAAACCGATATGGAAGCCAGACGGCCAGAACAGGTCATGGACGGTAGGTACCTGGGCTTATATCCTTCAACATATTATTATCCAATCATATCGACTCCACTTGTCCTTGCTGTAGGACAATTTCGGTGAAAAGTTACAGTCATGTATTTGTGTGCTATTGACAGCACATTACAGATCTCTTAAAATTTGAAATAAGAATAGCCCATCCTGCCCACTGTTTGGGCACAATTTCGACTTAATTTGGCCCGTCAGCGCTGAAATGTAGGACGATAAACCCAATTTCATTTCATTTCATTTTTCTCATGAAGAAATGGCAAGCAGAATTTTTAAGATCAAAAATTGGTGTGGCCTTGATATAACAGGGAAATGACATCATTATTCAAATTTATATCATTATTTTGGTTAATTCATAGACAATACGGGACAGTCTCAATATTTATTTCATTATTTTGGTTAATTCATAGGGACCGTTTCAAAATTTATATCATTATTTTGGTAATTCATAGGGACCATCTCAAAATAAATATCATTATTTTGGTTAATTCATAGGGACCATTTCAAAATTTATATCATTATTTTGGTAATTCATAGGGACCATCTCAAAAAAAATATCATTATTTTGTTTAATTCATAATTCATAGACAACAAGGGACCATTGCTAAATTTCAACACTGTGGGTTGAACGAACCTGCATATGGAAAATGATAATTTAAATGAAGGTCATCCATCAAAATTTATCGACATTTTCTAACACCGTCTGGTTGGATGAGAATGTGGGTGGGTGGACGAAAACTCTCCATGCGTTATTCGTTGGGATGCAAGTGTGGAAATTATGCGATGGTCTCTAAATAATACATGTATATCATGTCATTTTACACAATTTTATGTCATGTTTACCTCATGGATATGTTATCAGTTAACCACATTTTGATTGTTGAAGTAGTTCTAATTAGTTTATACTAAATTATTCTTAGAATTTTAAAAGAGGCTTTATCACTTTTGCCATATGAATCCTGAAGCAATGGCCCGAGAAATCACTCTCTCCCCCCTCCCCATCCCCGCACTGATGTTACACAATTGGGGGGATATATAATTGCATACCCTCACGAAATCAATTAGCAATCTTATCACAGGGCTAGCAGACAGATCACAGGTGGTCAAAAGATGGCAGTAAACATGATAAGTCTAACAGACAGACAAAGGTCGTTAGGAAGTCATTAATCATCACAGCTGTCCCGAGTTACGCAAGATCTTGAATAGTAAAGCAACCTGCACGGGAAGCTTAATCTGTTATTATATAATGACCAGCTGCCAATCCCGGTCATAATATAATCTGAAATATAATACCTGGAATTAGTTGATTGGCCAATAACTATATGTCCGTCCAGGTTATTAACCCACCCCGACCGGATACTGACCAATCAGGTTACGGTGCATGGGTGTGGTATCGAGACTGCAAGGCTGGACATAGATTCGGCCCAGTAATTAAAAGATCAGACAAACCGTTTTAGCGGCAGTCGAGGCCAGAGAGCCGAGCTGGGAACAAGACGGCAACCAGACGAAAAACCCGGTCTATATAAGTAATGTAGTAGAACTGTTGTATATGTGAAAAAGAAGAAATAAAACCATTGTTTGAAGTTATACCAGTGTTGTCATCAAAGAACCCGATTTAAGAACCAATACTGTCACACTGATGTACCCTAATAAATATTTCCACAATTGTCCAGCTGGGTTTCCCCTTGTCGGTGGTGTAGGATGGTGGGCCTGTAATGGAAAAGCATCTAGTTTTTTAGATGGAGCAAAAAACCTTATGTGTTTCACAGGCAGCATGTTAAAATATCCCATGGCAGCTGGAAATCAAAACAAGAGTAGGCTGTAGTGCCACTGACCAGGCAAAATTCTCTCATAGCACACTGCATGGTGTATGCTCGTCTTCATTATCCTGGTTGATGCAAAAAAGTAGAACATTAAATCACATATCCTTTATTTCCAAAATATAAAGTAAATTAAATTTATTTTTGCTGAAAGTGATAAAGCCTGTTTAACAACATTTAAATATTTATTTATTTTTCATTTACGTTCTTGAAAATTTAGATTATTTTGGAGTGAAAAGAAACATTTTCACCCAAAAAATTAAATACAAATTCTTAACAATGCATGAAGTAATATTAAATGGATGAAAAAATTTAACAAATTATGATTTTTTTTGTTTAAATTGTGAATTTTAACATAAGAAAGCATGTCTGATTTGAAAAAAATAACTCTTTTCATACCCCATTTGAAATCCATTCCCAAATTTAATGCATATTTGTACATGTATATGATATAAGCAACAGAAATTGAAATGGCTTTCTCTAACCCAATTTATAATTAGCTTCCAATTTTAGATAGTTAATGACCTTAGTGTGGATTTTATCTGATTAGAAATATTAAATTATTACTGTACACATGCTGATCAGGTCCAGAAATTTAAGATCTTGAGGCATGCAATGACTGACGTCATTATTATAGGACAATTAACATTATATCACAGCCAGTTAACGTAAAGTACTCAGTACACCTACGAGACTGAGAAAGCGCGTCTATCTTCAAGCCACTAATTATAATCTAGATTTAATGTGTTTATCCCACCACAGGAGTCTCACCTTCTATCAGTTGTATATGCATACACCATTTCCAACCATACAATATATAATAAAAAAGAACAAGAATGCAATGCCTGTTGAAGATTCGATTTTACCTACTCTTGCTTCGCCTCGTTTTTTTTCAACAATTCGTAATGTCAGGCAATCAAACCTCTGTCGATTCACTCAGATATGTTTTTTCTTCAATCTTGTCATTTTGATTTGCATAAATACTTCCACAAAATGATATCACAGCCACTTGTTTCCAATATTTACATTACTTTCATCCATTTCCATTTTGTCACTGCCGCCATGCGCTGACGTCACACAAAAACCTAACCAACCTCTGAAGTCTTGTATACTTCCAGCTCAAAATGATGAATATCACCAAAACCTGGCAGAAAATGTATACGCAAACCCTCTTCTTTGATTCTACACCCAAAAGTCAACAAAAATCGCAATGCAAAAGGGGCAAAATGGAAAGGGAGAGAAAAACTAAAAATATCTTTGGCACTTGTTTCAATGGTTTAGTCACTGCGGATTGATTTTGTGTGACGTCAGCGCATGGCGGCAGTGACAAAATGGAAATGGACGAAAGTAATGAAAATATTGGAAACAAGTGGCTATGATATCTTTTTGTGGGAGTATTTATGCAAATCAAAACGACTAGATTGAAGAAAAAACATATCTGACTGAATCAACAGAGGTTTGATTGCCTGACATTACAAATTGTTGAAAAAAAACGTGCCGAAGCGAGAGCAGGTAAAATCGAGTCTTCAACAGGCATTGCATTCCTGTTCTTTTTATTATATATTGTATGGTTGGACATGGTGTATGCATATATATACTGATAGGTCAGACTACTGTGATCCCACCCAAAATTATCCTACTTGCATTGTACACGTAACTGTGGAAATAAAACTTGCCATATTTTTGTCTCAAAATGGCAGAAGTATTCTGTTTAAATTCGAATAAATTCTGTTGTATTCCACCAAATTCCATCTTATTTTTTACAAAAAAGATTTGATTTCTGTAGGTGAAAAGTTGATCACTTAATTACCTAATCAATCCAGCCTATTATCAACGATAATCAGGTTGAGTGGAAGTTATACACTCAGTACACTATATTAATTTTGGAATTTTGAATATTATTCACCATGTCTTCATGTTTGATTTTACATATTCCTGGTCGGACAATTTTGGGCGTTTGGAAAATAGCGTCGGACAGGTCTGAAATATACGGGCAAAATCCCATCCCTGCTGAAAACCGTCTTCACAAGCCAGGTAGTAGCAGAAAATAGCGTCGGACAGGTCTGAAATATACGGGCAAAATCCCATCCCTGCTGAAAACCGTCTTCACAAGCCAGGTAGTAGCAGAAAATTAAAATATTAAAAAAAGACGATTAAAAAAAAAACCCCAAAAACTTTTGTTTTCTCGCAATCATTGGATAAATATTTTCACTACAGTTCAAAGTACCTACTATAGATAAATAGTGGCTCAGTGATTACAGCGCTGGCTTCCTAACCAGAAGGTCCAGTTTTGACCGCAGTGTTGGCCTAGTAAATTTCTGAGAATTTTTTAGTGCTGTATTCCCCTTGCAGTCATTGTTTTTTAAGGCGCGCGATCGCTCACGAGCGCCTGAGGCGCACCTGAATGTCGATTGAGGGGAGGTTTTTCTCCCTCGCCTTAAAATTGAAAATCGCTCTCCATATTTGTAAATCATGGACATGAATATATTTGTTGTTTTTTTTTCAAAAGAGTGTGAAAGACTCACATTCCGAGCGCCACCATGCTGTCATTGTGAATATTTATTTGGTGTATTCGATAGTATAATGTGATCGCACAAGGTAATAAAATTCCGATGAATATGTTGCTAAAAATAGATGGCGACTGTGCACCATTGGTTAATTTAACTGAAATGAAAAGTAAAACTCTCGCGAGACGTGAGAAATTACGAGAGATGGCACGTGAAAATTTCCAATGAGAATAATTCCGGAAGAAATAGATTATATTTTAATGGAATTTTCAAGCGTTTATGATTATATTTTGAATAGGGGTTATGTTTTTAAACAAAATTTATACAAGCTATATATATTTAGAAATGTCAACAAGTATTTCTATTGGAATACCGTATGTACTGTAGTTATAGACGACAGTAGAAGTTTGACTTGACTGTACGACGACACGAGTGCTATTTAGCAGACGATGTTTATTATCATTTATATGTAACCAAGAATGACCCTTACACGCAGTTATTGATCTTCAGAACCATTTCCCATACAAACAACTAATCACTCTCCTTAATATCAGATCATTCTCCTTAATTTCTAAATCACTCTTCTTATCGAAACTGGGAGAACTTTTTTAGGGGAGCGATTTTTTCAATTTGTTCATTAAGGAGAGCTTTTTTCGGCTCTCCTCTAAAATACAAAAAACAACGGAGGGTCTCGCCAGGAACAACATTTAGTTATTTAGATGGGACAACAAACCAAGGACCATGTAGACTTTGGCAGGTGAAATTGACACTGCAGCACTGTGGCAAAATTTCACGTATACTAGTATAGCTGCATATTGCCACTGCAGTCACAATGCAATATGTATTGTGTCTCGATTTCATAACTAGATCAATTTTTACCAAGAGAACAACAGGATAGATGAATAATTGATATTTTTAGTCCTGCCAATGTCGAAGAAATAAAACTGTTTTATATCACGATGTTGATGAATATAAGGACAAAAACAATTTAATAGTGTTTTGTGTACCTATGGATAATGTGTGACGTGGATAATTAATTAAGAGTAACAGGTTACTGAAGCACTAAGGCCAGTCATCGTTAGCCCAGGCCTGGAAATAACGGTTCTAGATGTACCTGACAAAATGTCAGGCACTAATGAAATAGTACCTGATATTTTCAACTGAGTGCCGGACATGTATTAATAATATCAATAAAAAAGATAAATCAATGCTGTACAAAATGACAGGCATCAGAGGTTTTGTGCCTGACAAAGCCTTAATCTGTGCCTGACATTGTCTGTGACAGATACCTTATTTTGAGGTGTGGTTATTAGCCACTGAAGCATGCACATTCACCGTGTCGAGTACCACTTTTAGTAGGGAAAATTTTCGGCACATGGGGCACACTATCATAACAAAGAATCCTGAAAAATCGCTTTAGCATCTCGGGATTCAATATGTCCAAACAGTAGAACGTTAAACCCCATTTCATTTCATCTCATTTCTTAAAATAATATTTGCATGTGGTTGTGTTTCATGTTTAGAATTTGTTTTGTTTTTGTTTTTTATTTGCATGGTGTGTGCTATAGGTAGACGAGGTAGAATTAATCCTGGTAAGATTAGTGAGTACGATCCCACGATTGAACCTCAGCCAGTATCTGCTCCCCCAGAAGCCAATTTTGATATGCGAAATAACAGTGGTGTTGCTTATCCTCAAACAGGTTATCAAACTGCGAAAGTTTTCGACTCACAACAGGGTGGTGATGGTAGGTATCTCTTTTGTTTGTTTTATTTTATTTAGACATTTTTATTGCAAATTGGGGGGTTGGATGGCCGAATGATTAGCATGTGTGCGTTGTGTCATAAGGTCTGTCATGGAGTCAACCAGCGTGGTTTCAATTCCCTGGTTGTCCAACCTCATGGGCTAGCTCCAGGTCCACTGGTTTCTTCCCTCTACTATAGACCCTGATTTATTGAAATAAAATTGAACAATATGTTAGTCCCAAAATGACCTAGTTTATGTCGAGTGGACGTTAAACCCTAATTCACCATCTCTCTTTATCATAAATTGATGTCCCGGGTTTGAATTGGGTGTGAGTCAAGAAGATGCACAAGCGGACAAGCTGATTTGTTAAGATCAGATAGGTCCACATGTATACACGTTGGCTTCAACGTGATTTTCCAGGGTGGCTCCCTCTTATCAGCGGTTCAGGATAGTTGGCCGGGGGGGGGGGGGCAGTGTTAGACAAGGATAGTGTCTGAGGTCCTCTGTTCTGATTGAGCACATGTAAAAGAAGCATTGACAGTTGGAATTTAAAATAAGAGTAGGTCGTAGCATCGCTGTCCAGGCAAAGTTTCCCTCCTAGCACACTGTATAGCGTATTGCCATCTTCATTAGCCCTTTAGGTGCTGACAAGTGGGATGTTAAACCCCATTTTATTATACTCGCACATTTTCATGTGGTCTTAGCGTCTGTCCGTTTGTTTTTGTGTCCACGTGTCCTTTAAAAAAAATTTTGTGGACCCTCTACAGGTCACAGTTTTTATTCAATTTTTTCAAAATTGGAAATATAGGTTGATATTCTTAAGATCTGTTTCTTTTGATATTGGCTTGCATCAGACCGTAACTTCACGGATTACAGACCCCTGATTGTAAGAAAAATCATTTTTTAGCGAATTCTCTGTCCATATCTTGCAAAATGTGGACGTATCTTGCATGGCAATCGCTGGTTTCATTTCACATCAAAAGAAATCGAAACAAAGATCCAGAGAGAAGCCATGAATAAGTCAATGACTGTGTTTCTATTTTTTTTAGGAATATATGTATGGTATTAATTAATGCATGCAAAATCTAACAAATGGTTTGCATCTTGTTGATGTATAATAAATTATTTATTAATTTTGTTAGCATATGATATTATATCAGGCCTGGAAGTTATTAATGAGTACCTAAGTCAGTAGTACCGTAACACTTGTCAAAAGGGAAATCTGTGACTAAACAGAAAGAGAAGTACAAGAGAGGTATTATCTAGTGGCCAGGACTCAACTCTTCAGTGCTTCTCCACCGAGACCCCATCACAAAATTCTGCCGTTGTCTTACTGCTAATTGTCTCACCATGCATCCGTACAGGTCAAAATTTTGCCGTTGTCTTGCTGCTAACTGTCTCACCCTGCGTCCATACATGTCATAAAATGAAGTTGTACCTGATTTTGTTTTTGACAGGTGCCCTTTTTCCAGGCTTGATATAATACATTTCTATTATGACATTTATTAGTGCAACCATATTTACTGATTCACAGGATTATTTGGGTTATATTTTTATGAATTTTTGTTATCCCATCTTAAAAATCTCATAAAATTGACTACCACTTCATTCTCCATTTTCATCAACTATCAGGTCTTATCACATCAGAAAGATATTTCATTTTATTTAATTTTCTTTTCATTTAAACCTCCATATTTTTTTTTGTCATTTGTACATTTTTAGATATTATAGAATCTGTTCCTGCAGATGGCTGTAAGTCACAAAATAACGAAACAAATTTTTTTATTAGTTTTAAATATCACACTAAAATAATGGAGAAGTTATTAATCATTTTTTTTTTTTTAAATAAAAATATATGTCCGTTTTTGATAACACATTTTTTGATATATTATATTTTTTATTTTTTTAAATTGCTTAATGCTATATGCTTTTTATGTTTTGGAGAGCTTACATTTTTAATTTACCGTTTTCCCAAACTTCTCAAGTCGAAAAGTTACTTGCTAACAAATCTTTTGCGACACTTAATATTTTCTTTTTTTCCAAATGGTTTAATTTGATAAAATTTTATTTTCATATATCTGGGTCCGTATTTCATTTCAAGAGTCGATAAGCTACTAAATAGATATTTTTATTTTTTGCGATATTAAATTTAAAAAAAAATAATTATACCTTGCTAATCTTACGACTTTAATGTTGCTTCATCCAAAAAGTTTAATTTGATTGATAGAAAGTTTTTCTTTTAGTATATTATATTTCAGAATTCAATGGGTTTACTTGCTATCAAATATCTATTATTTTTTCCAGTACTAAATATTTAAAAAAAAATATATTTATACGTTACTAATATGATGATTTACATCTTTTGTTGCTTAAAGGTTGGTTTTCTCTGTCTGCCTTTTTTTTTTCGCCTTGCGAATGTGTTGGCCTCAAGTCCTCTGGATCTCATTTGTCCATTTTTTTTTTTTTTTTTTAAATATTACATTTAATAATTTTGTTTTGTTTTATGGCTGATTCCGACTGAGACAGAAATGATATGTCACGTTGGATAATATTTGAACCATTTTAAATCGAAATGAATTCACACTTAAGAACTTTTGCAACGAACGGTTATACAATTTCATTAGATTTTGTCCCGAAGGGTTCCCACATTCTTTATATTTATATAGTTTTATGACTAGTTGAAAAATTTGAATAGGTTATGTTTGGAAACGATTACTTATGATGGGAACATTTGTCACTTACGATAAGAATTAAATCTCATGACATCGTGTTTTGGAGAGCTTAGATTTTCAATTTATCCAAAAGTTTTAATTACTGGTAGTTTAATGATAAGATTTTTTTTTTTTTGTATATTTGATTCTGTATTTCATTTCTCAAATCGAAAAGTTTAATTTAATAAGATTTTATTTTGATATATCCGGTTCCATTGTTCATTTTAAAAGTCGATAAGCTACTAACAGATATTCTTAATTTGTTGTGATATTAAATATTAAAAAAAAAACGTGCGTCTTACGAATTTGACAAAATTCTATATGTTGCTTTATGATGTGAAAAGCTTTCATTTTCAAAATATCCCAAAAAGTTTAATTTGATAAATGGACAGTTATTCTTTTAAAATATTTATTATATTTTGGAAGTCAGTGGGTTTACTTACTATGAAATATATTTAATTTTTTTTTCTCCAGGACTAAATATTTTAAAAATTGATGGGGTACTAATTTGAAGATTTTGTGTCCGCCATTTGTTGCTTTATATGGAGATATTTTGTTATAAGTCTAGTTTACTCTTTCTGCTTTTGTATTCGCCATGCAAAAGTCCTCTGTGGGTCCCATTGTCCATTTGTTTTTTTAAAATTGCTTTCAATAAATTAGTTTGGCTTCATAACGGGTTTTAGATTTGAATAGGTTATGCTTGGTAGTGATTAGTTATGATACAAACATTTGTAATTGCGTCTGTATTTTAATATTTATTTATGGGTAAATTCTAAATGAATAATACATTAATCTGGGTATCATTTAATCTTGTGTATTTAGCACTAATTTCCTTAACATTCATTCAATATCAAATCCTTGTTTAAAAATTCGTAAAAATCATTTAAAATCACCAAAATTCATCTAATTTGTACATCTGTCCAGTTTATAGCTGACCATTTAAATTTGATAATGAATGTCCAATTTACAAGTGTTCAATTTCTCGGTCACTGTTAAAAAATAAACACCCAATTGTTTATTGATGTATAATGATTAATATTTGGACAGTAGTCATGAAATAAATACTTGAAAATCGGACAATCATTACCAAAATTAATCAGTCAGCTTTAAACTGGACACAAGTACAAATAAAATGATTTTTGGTGGTTTTAAATGATTTTTACGAATTTTTAAGCAAAGATTAGATATTAAATGAATGTGAAATAAATATTAGTGCTAGAGCGGTATACAATGTTCATTGAGTTCTGTTTTTATTCTATAACTACATGTAAATCTCAAAATACACAGTACTATCCAGATTATCATTAAAAAAAATCACCAATAATGGCGATAACATTAAAATTCATCATAGGTTCTGCCCCTTTTTCTTTCTTTTTTTTTACAAAAATTGTGGTTGCTAGTGTTGACGTCATTACAGTTTGACGTAATTCTGAAAGTGACGTCATTCTGGACAAAAGTAGTATGTGTAAAAGCCATTGAATAACAATATATGCCCAGACATTGAGATGACATGAATTGCACAGGTAAAATACATAGATGGGCATCATACTAATAAATCTCCTTGGGATTTTGAAGAATGGCTTCTTATGAAGAATGGGGCGAACAACTGAGATCCATTCTTTTACCTGCTGTCATACATATTAAAGGCCACTGTCCTTGATGAAGAAAACATCATTGTCCGTGCAAAATTTCCCTCATAACACACTGCTTGGCATTTGCCAGGTTTAATTAGCCCAGTTGGAGCAGAAAATTTTGGATGTTAATCTCCATTTTATTTCATTTTATTTTTAAACCGGGTGGAGGGTTGGATGGTGGTTTTCGATTCCCCACCAGAACATGACAAGGTGTAGGGTCGCCTGTCCAACCTCATGGTCTCTCTCTCTCTCTCTCTTTCTCTCTCTCTCTCTCTCTCTCTCTCTTTCTCTCTCTAATTAATGTGTACTGATAATAATTCTACTTGTGTTTTTTTTTATTTTTTAGTTCAGAATGGTCAGAGACGTCAGCCAGGATCTATCTCGGATTATGATCCAATGACTGCTTATCCTCAACATTATAATCCTCCTCAGCCAGCTCCTCCTGTCTTTCAAGGTAAATATAATCCTCCCTACCCCCGACCCCATGACCCCCCACCACTCCTGTCTTTCAAGGTAAATATAATCCTCCCCAGCCAACAACCCTTGTCTTTCTTTCAAGTAAATTTTTTTACTGATTTAATATTTGTATAAGGACTTTTGCAAAAGAAGCCCACAAAACATGGTGAGTGAGTTCAACAAGACCACTGATAGAAAACAATAATCGCAGAACTGGGTGGGTGTGTTGAACATTGTCACCATTTCCTTCTCTGTTGGTGGGGATGCGCATGATCAGGTTGGTGGATGCAGATGACCAGGTGGGTGGGTGCAGATGACCAGGTGGGTGGGTGCAGATGACCAGGTGGGTGGGTGCAGATGACCAGGTGGGTGGGTGAATGCGGCTGACCTTTATAAATATATTCCTTTGTTAATCGTTCGGACGTGTTGAAATATACCTTTCTTGAGACTAAAGCTATCATCCAATTGGCTTTCTTGAGACTACCATCCAATTGGCTTTCTTGAGACTAAATCTATCATCCAATTGGCTTTCTTGAGACTACCATCCAATTGACTTTCTTGAGACTAAATCTATCATCCAATTGGCTTTCTTGAGACTAAAGTTACCATCCAATTAGCTTTCTTGAGACTAAAGCTATCATCCAATTGGCTTGTAATTCGCTCTTGAGGCTAAATTTATACGTCATATAAGAAAAATCCTGTGTATGCTCTGTGGACTAGAGTTATGATCCGATTAACTTGGAATTTAGGGTTAACTCCTTCAAGCTTAAGTGAGAATATGCCGCTGTTCCCTTTACAAAGTTGTTGGGGATTCCTTTTTCACAGTTCTTTTAACTATTCCCACAAATTTTATAGTAAACCCAAATTGGGACGGTTACGTTAATATTAGTTGAGTAATTTTTACTTTAAGAAATGTTTGGTAATTATGAATTTTATAGGGTATACTAGTAGCAATATAAATGATCGTGAATTATTCGGTGATGGTATGTTACCTCCACCACCACCACCTGCCATGGATAGTAAGTCGTTCAGCATACAGAATAAAAACACTACTTTTTTTTATATATATATAAAGTATATAAAACTAACCTGAATGAAAGAAGAGGATCTATAACAATCTTATATATTTTATTACTAGCTTCTGATTCAATCATTTTTTTTTTTCTCTTTAAAAGACTGTAACATTTTAGCTTCTACATTTTCGATTGTCCGTATCTGTTGTGATATCAGTGCTGAATTGTTGATTAAAAGTACAGTAGGACCTCACTATCGATGGGTTTCAGTATAAGATGGGGTTTTAGTATAAGATGGGTTTTAGTATAAGATAGGTTTTAGTATAAGGTGGATGTCAGTATCATGCTTCCCCCCGGGAAAAACTTAGCTTTCTAGAACTGCATTCTTAAAGGACTAGAAGAACATTCTTAAAGGGCTACAATAGCATTCTTAAAGGGCTACAATAGCATTCTAGAAACAGAATAGCATTCTTAAAGGGCTAGAACAGCATTCTAGAAACAGAATAGCATTCTTAAAGGGCTAGAACAGCATTCTAGAAACAGAATAGCATTCATAAAGGGCTAGAACAGCATTCTAGAAACAGAATAGCATTCTTAAAAGGCTAGAATAGCATTCTTAAAGGGCTAGAATAGCATTCTAGAACAGCATTATTAAAGGGCTAGAACACCATTCTTAAAGGCTAGAATAGCATTCTTAAAGGCTAGAATAGCATTCTAGAAACAGAATAGCATTCCTAAAGGTTAAAATAGCATTCTTTAAAACTAGAAGAAGTAAACAATTTAAAACTCCATTTCATTCATAACAACTTTATTTATGCCATGATCCCCTCTTCATTAGCCCATTTGGTGCAGAAAAGTAGGACATTAAACCCTATTCATTTCATTGATTACAACTTTATTTATGCTGTGATCGATTTTCCATACATCCAATTTTAGAAGTAGGATTTTCTGGTGTAGTTTTTTCCTGCAGTTTTTTTTCTTTTTTTTTTTCTTTAAGTCTGTCTTTTGTTTGAGTATTTTGTTTCATTTATTTTTACATTTTGTTTGAGTATTTATTTTTTTTACATTTTATTTTTGGTATTATGATTATTTTGCAGCCTTTGTTTGGTTTTAGTCTTTTTATTTTATTTTAGCTGTGACCGGTATATTTATTATTTTTTTTATAAAACTATGTTAATTCTTTTATTTGAATATACATGTATTTGTTTTATTATTTGATTTTTATCTTCCAAAATATTTTGTATGCCATATTATTTTTAGTTTGCATCCAACATTATATGTATTCCAATATTTGGCTTATTTTTTTCCCTTATTTTTGATACATTTCCTGGGTTTTTTTAATGCTAAGACATTTAAAGATGTTAGTTTTATCCACTATTAAACATACATTATTCAAAAGCTAAATCTGTCTATTGCAGGTCTTTCTTTAGGCCTGAAATGTTATCTAAATTATTAATTAGAGTGGATTATGAGCCGATTTACTGCATAACTTTCCTTCACGATTTAACGATTAAATGGATAATCAAAACTGTGCTGTTTATCGTACTGACTTTAGTAATGATGATCGAGACCAGGCGGAAATTTCAATCGCTTAGTTTTCGGTTCATAGTGGATGAATTTGAATGAAATTTTTAGCAAATTACCTTTACATTATCAAGTTTTTAACTATTATAGTGAGAACTGCCAACTCTTTATCAAATCTCCCATAATGTATCTTTAACAGCAGATATATTTTATGGGAAACAGTCACTGGTTTACTATAAGCACAACGTTTCGACAATTATCCTCTGACGCAACTCGAAATCGGCAATTGGTTAACGATCAAGTGGAACTGATCAGTCGTGACTACCTGGGCGACCTAAGCACTCTTAGTACTGGTGTAAGTCGGGACCAGTCGCCGTCCAGTCGTCTCCAGGATCTCGGAGTCGCACATGTTCTACAACTACTACCGCAGACAACTTGTTGTCCAGGGTCGCAAGCGTCATGAGCGCACCTACAACTACCTTGAGTCAGCCCCTCGCTGTGGTAGCCAATAAGATTCGGTTATTTAGTCACGTGGTACCCAGGGGGCGGTAACAAACATGGCGGCCAAGTGGAATGAGGTCATTTTGAAGGTTATCACGGGGCAGTCATGTGATCATTTGTGGCTCTGATTCTGCAACCGACGTCGGGCAACATGAGCACGCTTACGACTATGATCAACTGGTTGCACTTGGTTGCGTCCAGTCGTCGAAAAATTTAGTCGTGGTGACATAAGCTGTCATTCACCGTTAGTCACCATTGGTTTTATCTCGTCGTAGGGTGACATAAGCTTGTCTTTATTGTTAGAACTTCTATTGATTATAAGGGGGGTGGATGGCTGAATGGTTAGCATGTGCGCGCTGTATCATTGAGTCAACTGGCGTGGTTTCGATTCCCCGGTTGTACGTGACAAGGAGTAGGGTCGTCTGTCCAACCTCATGGGTTTTCTCCGGGTTCTCCGGGTCCTCCGGTTTCCTCCCACTGCTAAAGACCCCTACGCGCAAGCGAATTATTGAAATAAAATTAAACCATATGTTAGTCCCGAAATTACCTAGTTTGTGTCGAGTGGACGTTAAACCCCATTTCTCTCTCTCTCTCTCTATTGATATAAAACGTTGATTGGAAAAATGTACACAAACTACCCATATTGTTTGAACCCTCGTATATTACCATCTATTGGACAACGTCGTTTAGAAAACGTACACAGGTATCCAGAAAGATATATTACGAACATATTGATGCTCTGTAATAATTAACTTATTTAATTGATCTGATTAAAACACAGATCCTATTGCGTTTCTTTTTTGATAGTTCAAAATTTCATTTTACTTGTCTTTACTGCACTAGGATCTGGAAGAGTTGTTATTAATCTGTTAAAAACACAGATCCTATTTCCTTTCGTTTTTTATAGTTCAAAATTTTGTTTTACTTGTCTTTACTGCACTAGGATCTGGAATAGTTGATTCATTGTTTAGACGCAAAAACCATTAATTAAACTATGTTTGTCATGTTCTGAGTTAAAATTGTTTAATATTCTGATTTCATGGGTTATTAATTGACTGCCGGCCAAGACTGACAAATTTGAATGAAATGAGAGCCCTGCATCTGAACTTATCAGATGTTTGGATGTGAATTTGACTAAGTTAAGTCCAGCTCTGGAACTTACCAGATGTTTGGATGTGAATTTGACTAAGTTAAGAAGTCCAGCTCTGGAACTTACCAGATGAAATGGAGTTTAACGTCCTACTGTTCTGCTCCTAACCTGGGCTAATGAAGACAGGAACTTACCAGATGTTTAGATGTTAATTTGACTGTAAGTTAAGTCCAGCTCTGGAACTTACCAGATGTTTGGATGTGAATTTGACTGTAAGGCAAGTCCAGCTCTGGAACTTACCAGATGTTTAGATGTTAATTTGACTGTAAGTTAAGTCCAGCTCTGGAACTTACCAGATGTTTGGATGTTAATTTGACTGAAAGGCAAGTCCAGCTCCTTAATTTACCAGATTTACCAGATGTTGAGATGTGAAATCAACTATTCTATAATTTTCTATTTGTTTTTTTCAGGTGGATATGGCCAGCAGCAGCCGGGCAGAGGATCAGTAAGTATTTAAATTCATAACCACGGACACACCTCCAGGAATTTTCAAACCAAGTTACGTATTTCAGGTCAGGGTCCAACTGAAGTGGGCAGTAATACCTCTGTGAAAAATTTCCTTTTGTCAGTCATTGCCGTTTCCACTTTTGAATGGGCTGCGGGGGGGCGGTAGTCTAGTGGTTTAATGCGCTGGTTTGAAATCACAAGGTCTGTCATTGAGACCAGTGGTGTGATTTCAATTCTTCGCTTGAAAGTGACAAGGTGTATGGTCGACTTTCCAACCGCATGGGTTTTCTCCTGGTCCTCCAGTTTCCTCCCACTGCTAACGACCCCCTACAAGCAAGCAAATTATTGAAATAAAATTGAACCATATGTTAATCCCGAAATGAGCTAGTTTGTGTTGAGTGGCTGTTAAACTCTCTCTCTCTTTCTCTCTGATTTCGTTTTTCTGTTTAAATATATCTGTCATTGTTTTTCAGGTTCACGTACCTTCATATCGTGCTATTTACGACTACACCGCTGCCGATGATGATGAAGTTTCGTTCAGTGAAGGAGACCTGATCATTGACTGTGAGGTCATCGATGACGGCTGGATGGTTGGAAGGGTGAAGAGGACGGGCAAACATGGAATGCTCCCTTCCAACTATGTTGAAAAAGCATGAGAGAAAAAAAAACATTTTTATATTATTGTTAATGTTTTTCTTCTTCTTAATACTTGAAATATTTCTCGATGCTAATAGATCGATAAACTGTAGATGGTTGAATTCAGATATACTTCAAAATGGCAGAGATTAGCGCCACCACCTTTCACAATATTAGGCGCGGCAGAGCTTGTATCACCTTGTCCAATGAGGAGTTTGCCATTAGAATAGTAGCTTTTGTTAATCAGATTTTAAAGTTTCCCTCCCACCTCGTGGGTTTTCTCCGGGTCCTCCGGTTTCCTCCCACTGCTAAAGACCCATAAGCGCAAGCGAATTATTGAAATAAAATTAAACCATATATTAGTCCCGAAATGACCTAGTTTGTGTCGAAGGTACGTTAAACCCCATTCTCTCTCTTTCTCTCTTAAAGTTTCCCTATAAGACAATATCAGGCTTGACAGAGCTCGGATCTCTTTTTCTAATATGAGAAGTTTGCCATTCTACTGGTAGCTTTGGTTAACCAGATTTTTAGTTTCTCTATCAGTTTGATATGTTTGGTTAATCTAGACTAGTGTTAGTTCAATCATTGGATGTGTTTAAAGGCAATATGTCTGAAATTTGTATTGAGTATAGACCTGTTCTATAACCTGTTTATCTCCCTTGAATTAAGTTACCTCCCCTATTTATCTCCCTTGTATCCATGGAGCAATGATACTGCCAGTAGTTTCTGTAAACACCAAGTTAGTTTCTGGCATTAGTCATGACAAGCAAAAATCTGGTTTTTAAAAGTTTTCAATAAAATTATTGGATAGGTGTACAACTGTTGTTAAATAAATGAAACAAATGTCATAATTTTTAAATTTATTAAGCATTTTCAGCCCATTGTTTACGTGATTGCTTGCTTTGAAGTATATTTGATGTAAATAAACCCTTTCTTCATCCAATTGATCTTAATCTGTTATCCTTTTAAAATCACCCCTTAAATACTGAAAAGGAATAACCTTTTGAAAAGGCTTTGTTTGCATAAAAGAATCCATGTTGAGTAAAAAGAGGGGTGATGATTAGGGAGTATAGCTATATGTGTGTTACCTGTTATCCTTTCTTGTAAATTAGATTAGCTTAAACATTTTTTTTTTTTTTCAAATGGAATTTTCATAAAGAGTTATAATTTGAACCTTCTTGAGTGACACTGTAGTAATCATGGCAACCTTGGATTCAAGAATTAGTTTGTTATATATGTGCTCACGATACTGGATACGATACCCCTCAATCAGTTTTTTGCCCAAAATATAATTTATAAAGATCTTGTAGAGAGGTTAAGGTTGTCCTGAATAGGAAAGTCAATGTTGTCCTGAACAGGAAGGTCAAGGTTGTCCTGATTAGAAAGGTTTAACTGTATATAATATATATATGTTTATACATAGCATTTTGTTTTATCATACATATATATTATTAATATAGACACTATTTGTTCCTCTGATCGTAAACCCTTAATTAATATCATAAAATTGCATAATATTCAATGTTCTGTTGGCCTCTCAGTGTTTTTTTTTATTTGTAAATGTGGCTTACTTTCTTTTTTTTCAAGTTATTGTTAAATTTATTTAAATAATAAATGCAAATTTTAACGCAATCCAATCGCTTTTCTAAAGTTTGATATGATTATTTACATACCTAAGATGGTTTTGTTTTTTTTTTTTCTTTATTATATTTTGGTGATCTATTTTCTTGAAATGATAATCTTTGCTAAGCACTATCACCACAATCAGGCAAATGGCTCCTTGAAAGGTTTTTTTTTTTGTTTTTTTTTTCACTTGGTATAGGGTTTTGTTATTGGCTGATGGCTCGTTGTAAGGGGTTTTCTGTCAGTGACCGATGGATCTTTGTAAGGGGTTTTCTGTCAGTGACCGATGGATCTTTGTAAAGGGTTTTCTGTCAGTGACCGATGGCTCTTTAGGGGTTTTCTGTCAGTGACCGATGGCTCTTTGTAAGGGGTTTCTGTCAGTGGCCGATGGCTTTTTGTAAGGGGTTTTCCGTCAGTGGCCGATGGCTCTTGTAAGGGATTTTCTGTCACTTGTTATAAATTAGCCACCACATACATTAGATTCAGCTCTAGAGCAATGTTTATCAACAGAGATAAATTAAAGAAACATTGATTTGTAATTAAAATAAACAAGAATTTGAAAAAAATGATTTTTTTATTGAAAAAAAATGAGATTAGACGAAGATATTAATTGTTAAATAATACTGATTTATGATTTACGGCATCACTATCAATATGTATATAAAATATATTATCTTCAAATAAATATAACATTTCTTAAATCTAGTAAAACATCACAAAGAGTTGAAGCAGCTGATTATCCAATTTTCTACGGCTTACCTCGGTTGTACGTGACAAGGAGTAGGGTCGCCTGTCCAACCTCGTGGGTTTTCTCCGGGTACTCCAGTTTCCTCCCACTGCTAAAGACCCCTACACGCTAGCGAATTGAAATAAAATTGAACCATATGTTAGTCCCGAAATGACCTGTTTTGTGTCAAGTGGATGTTAAACCCTATTTCTCTCTCTCTACGGCTTAATCCACGCAAGAATAAAAACTATAAAATATCACCGGTAGATAAATTCTCTACTTGGATTTAATCAGTTTTAAACGAGGCCCATCAAAATATTTACCTAACGGGTGGTGCTAGCCTGTTTTATTTCTGCGGTAAACTCGTATTTGATGTTTTGCTATTTTCTATATGAACCTATATAAGCAGATTATTATTTTATATCAGATTATTTCACCTATATCATGTTAAATGAACTTTATTTAGATATTAATTATATTGCCATGGAAACCTCTAGGAACTGTGTATTGGGGAATCCAGTTGTAAGAACAGAAAAGTACGGAAAAATGGAATTAAGAATACATACCCCATATGGTATAGATGTGTATAACCACCAATAGGCTGGGCATTCCAAGCTAGTGTCAATAAAACCATTCTTCCAGTGGTGCTATAATCTAGAACATAATCTTTAAGTGGCATTTAGCGATTGAGCCCATTAAAAAAAAAACACAGATCTTATTTCGTTTCGTTTTTATAATTCAAAATTTCGTTTTACTTGTCTTTACTACACTTGGATCTGGAAGAGTTGTTATTTAACTCGTGTTCTGAATGGTGTCGGGGATAAGCCAATGAAACGGTCTGTTATGGCGAGCTTTAGGCGTGTTTTTCACAGAACTGTGAGTAATCCACTAGTAACATCAATGCTGATTGGTTAATTAAATGTCTGACGTCATAGGGTCAGAAGTCGGTCTTTTGACCCCTGACGTGACCTATCGCTATAACTTGTCAGATCTTCATGTAGTGTAGGCCATCGAAAGTATAAAAAACGAAACGAAATATAGATCTGTGTTTTATTCAGATTGTATATTCTAGAACATAATTGTTGAGTGGCATTTAGCGATTGAGCACATTTAAAAAAAAAACAACACAGTTTATATGGAAAACAATCACTAGTTTATATTCACGATAAGAGAATACTTGTCGAAACGTTGTGCTATAAGTGTATAAACCAGTGATTGTTTTCCATATAAATTGTGTTGTGTTTTTTAATCTGTAACATATTTTTTTTGGGCATTCAGAGAACATGCTATCATTACTAGTTTCACGAGGGATTTGTGCTATAATGTTAAAGATGCATTATGTAAACTTAGAGCTAAACTAATGCAGGTCTTTATTCTGGCTTCAAATGTTATATCAACTACTATTTGGACATTTATCTATAACATATTTTTTTTTTGGCACTCAGAGAACATGCTATCATTACTAGTTTCACAAAGGATTTGTGCTATCATTTTAAAGATGCATTATGTAAACTTAGAGCTAAACTAATTATGCAGGTCTTTATTCTGGCTTCAAATGTTATATCAACTACTATTTTGACTTTTATTCACATGACAAGCCTATCATCAAACACTCTAGAACATCGAATGCCTGAGATTCAAATGGATGAACACAAGCGTGAGATATAAAAATTTAACGATAAAAAGGATAATCTAGACTACAAATCGCTTGTCAAGTAGCGTTACTACGATAATGAACAATCTATGCTAAATCTTGTCAAAACTTCAAACACTTATAACTTCACACAGCATAAAGTAACTTGAATAAACCTTCACTATAGTAATTTTTCATTATCTTTTTTGGGAACTATTATAGCAAGAACTGTCAGCTCTTTATCTAAATGGGGTTGGATGACTAAATGCTTAGTGTTTGGGCTGTATCATCAACTGGCGTGGTTTCGATTCCCCGGTTGTTAAGTGACAAGGAGAAGGGTTGTGGGTTTTCTCCGGTTTCCTCCCACTGCAAGCGAATTATTGAAATAAAATTGGACCATATGTTAGTTCCGAAATGACCTAGTTTGTTTCGAGTGAATATTAAACCCCATTTCTTTTTCTCTCTAGTCTTATTTATCAATATTGCTTTATAGAGACTTAGAGAAGCCAAGTCGAAACATCACTCAGTAAGTAAATGAAATGAAATGGAGTTGAACGTCCTACTCCAACTGGCCTAATGAAGACACCATACCATACAGTGTGCTATGAGGGAAACTTTGCCCAGTCCAACCTCGAGGGTTTTCTCCGGGTCCTCTGGTTTCCATCTCACTGCTAATGACCCCTACGCACAAGCGAATTATTGAAATGAAAGTAAAACCATATGTTAGTCCCAAAATGACCTAGTTTGTGTCAGCTGGACGTTAAACCCCATTTCTCTCTCTCTTATCTAAATCTTACATAATGCATCTTTAATACGAACATGTGCTATAGCAAGAACGACCAGCTCTTTATCTAAATCTTACATAATGAATCTTTAATACGAACATGTGCTATAATTGCTACCGGTAGTTTTATAATGTATATACATATGTACATCGAGAAAATATCAAACGAGATTCTTCTTGCCTGTTAAAATAAAAGAAACACAAATATTTAATACATTTTGTATGATGTAAAGCTTCTGCTCAAAACTAATTTCATTTTTTTTACGATATTTTTTTTTAAAAAGGAACAAGCCTGTCTGATTTTAGTTTAAAATAAAGTATTTAATTTGATTGGTCAGATGTATTATTTTAATTAGTGATTGGACGATGATTATGCTACTAAATTTTTGTTCGCAAAAAGGAAGGGGAATGTTATCTAATTTAAGGTTTGGGCTGTGTGAAACCCAGAAATCCGTTCATGGATAGACCTCATATTTTGGGCTGTGTCAACAGCGGATCCAGAAATCGATTTTACAGTATATACAGACATCAGATTGTCAAGAAACGGCTAAATCTATTTGTTAAGGCCAGCTCAATTTTTATCCAGGTCGCTGAGATTAAATGCTGTTAGGGCACGTAATTGTTGGCGAGATTGTAGGTTAGGGTTAGGATAAGCATTGGAGCAAGGTCCAGGGTTAGGGTTGGGATTAGCGATAGCCCTGTTTACATCTCGTGACCTATGACGAAAACTTGAGCTGGCCTTATCATTTAGCACTAACCAAAAAGACAGATAACCAGACTATGATATAAATCCAACACATTAAAACCAATGAAATTGATAACTTTATTTTTGACCCCAATCCACAAGTTCTGCTTGTTTTAAGACCTGATTTCTTATCAGTATGGATCAGTACTATTATTAAAAATCAGATATTGCTATCAATTTTAGAAAATAGGACCATATTCATTGGATAAAGTGTAGGGTCGCCTGTCAGACCTCGTGGGTTTTCTCCTGGTCCTCCGGTTTCCTCCCACTGCTAAAAGACCCCTACGGGCAAGCAAATTATTGAAATAAAATTGAACCGTATGTTAGTCTCAAAATGACCTAGTTTGTGTCAAGTGGACGTTAAACCCCACTTCTCGCTCTCTCTCATTGGATAAAATTTTAGCACTTAGGCAATGAAAAGTTTGCAGTCTTAAATCAATTTAGATTAAGTTTCATGAATAAAACGAAGCAACGGGTTGATACAAAATACCCTACTATTAGCGTGTGAAGGGGTTGGGGGGGGGGGGTCCATCTAATCAAAAAGTTAATTTTTTTTTTTTCGATATTTGACATTATCGCGGTTAACTTTAGTGTACAAGCTGACCTATTTAATTTGTTGTGAGGAACCAGGTTACTTGGAGACATACGATCAAGGAGTTAGCCCTTATCCCATGAGTCTTGGAGACATACAATCAAGCAGTTGGCCCTTGCCCCCGAGTCCCGGAGACATACAGGCAAGGAGTTGGCCCTTGCCCCCGAGTCCCGGAGACATACAGGCAAGGAGTTATCCCTGCCCCTGGAAACACCAAACCTAAGCGCGGAACCATACTCATATATTTTAGTCCTAAATGAATAGCAGACATTTTGATTATCTAACATTTATATTTAGAACAACCGTGACGCCTTCAAATTGGGAAATTCAAATTTTACGTGAAAGTACTAATGATGTATCCATCGATTCGTGTATTATTGAAAACAGGGTTTCCTTCAAATGCAATTATTGTCTCTACACCGGGCAGTCTTGTTTTGTTTCCTGGATACACAAGTCACTAGTCTATGAAATACAATTCAGGTGGTACGGAAAATCGAGTTCCCGTGTACACATTGGTGTGCACGTATAAGATCCCTTGGCAGTTGGAATTTGATATAAGAGTAGGTGATAGCGCCGTGGTCTGGGCAAAGTTTCCCTCATAGCACACTGTATGGTATGGTGTCTTCATTAGGCCAGTTGGAGTAGGACGTTCAACTCCATTTCATTTCATTTACTTACTGAGTGATGTTTCGACTTGGCTTCTCTAAGTCTCTATAAAGCAATATTGATAAATAAGACTAGAGAGAAAAAGAAATGGGGTTTAATATTCACTCAAAACAAACTAGGTCATTTCGGAACTAACATATGGTCCAATTTTATTTCACTAATTCGCTTGCAGAGGGAGGAAACCGAGAAAACCCACAACCCTTCTCCTTGTCACGTACAACCGTGGAATCGAAACCACGCCAGTTGACTCAATGACAGACCTTAAGATGCAGCGCCCCCCCCCCCCCCAAATAAGACTAGGGAAATCCTAGTGGAAAGGTCGCCCTGTAAAAAAACCTAATTATATATCACAAAATTGTGACTGATGTATTTCTAGTTAAATAAATGTCATGGAAGCAATCCGTTATGTGGAATATCGTGGAGATAGCCCTGACTATTTTATACATCAACTTTGTTTATCTTGACAAAATGTTATATTTTATGAATTAAATTATAAAAATATCTTATACTATATATAGTGTCACATATTAAACACCTCTTCCTTTAGATAAATATCCACAGTTTCTAGAATTAAAACTGTTTTTATATATCATACTATATGACATATATATATACATACATGTATGTAACTGTTAAAATATGGATTTGAAAGAACACGTGTAGATTGGGTAGGGAAAGACCACGTGTAGGCTGGCTAGGGAAGGAACACGTGTAGATTGGCTAGGGAAAGAACACGTGTAGATTGGCAAGGGAAAGACCACGTGTAGATTGACTAGGGAAGGAACACGTGTAGGCTGGCTAGGGAAGGAACACGTGTTGAATGGTGATGGAAAATACAAAATGTATTCCACAAATGTCTGTCTACCTGTGGAGGTGGTGTCTTATTCCAATCTTACTACAGCGCCATCTACAGAGCTAAATGGAGTTGACACTGTGTAATCATTGTCGATCCGTAGGTTAGTAAAGGAACTACAATATGCTCAGTTTTAGGCGTTTGAAGACAAACTCAGCATGGCAAGCAATAGACGTCGCTTGTCAGTAGTGCAGGACGGGGGGCCTGACAAGGACAGCTGTCTTATCGTTCAGATGCCTTGTCGTTCAGATGGGACGAAAACCCGAGGCCCCGTGTATACATTGGAGTGCACGTAAAAGTTCCCCTGGCAGTTGGAAATCGATATAAGAGTAGGCCATAGCGCCGGTCCCCGTGCAAAATTACCCCCAAAGGGCCTCAAGGCGCACTGTATGGCGTATGCCTGTCTTCGTTATTCTAGTTCGGAGCAGAACAGTAGGAAGTTAAACCCCATTTCATTTCATTTCTCTACACGTGTTTGGAAACTAATTGTTATTATTTCCGACCTATGTTATAACAGTTTCACATATATACATGCAATATAGTTTATATGATTGGTTTAAAAGAAGGAACGACCATTTATGTACACCGTTTAAATGGCTAGAGCTACACACGCTATGGCTTTATAAATAAAAAAATAATTTAAACACCTTTTGAAATATTTCTTATCGTTTGTTTCTTTTTGAAATGGGTGTCCATGGCTTTGTCGTGACGTCTCAGGGGTCCAGGGCCTTGTCGTGACCGCTCATTTAGTATGCGGGGAAAATCCCTCGGGGACACAATATCAGAGCATCTATATCTATAGGGATAAGGAATATTTTTAAGGGTTTACTTTTGAAATGGGGTTGTGGGGCGTGGTAGCGGCTGATTTTGCACGAGGAACAACATCTCGTAGGGCACAGAAAACGAACATCTATATCTTTGAAGTATCTAATTGTCTCTAACTCAATATCATCCAAAGTCTTCGACATTGAAAATACGAATTATTTGTCAATTTAAATCAACATTGATATTTTGATCTAACCGGGGAAAAGATGGACTTCTGATATCCAATATTGAAGACAAAATAAATACTTTAAGATTGGTACACGAATCGTGTACCATAATGCGTTTCAGTGCATTATAACAAGGGACTCGAAAAACGAGGCTAGACATATATCACAAGTCACGTCAAACGGTGACGTCATATTTTTATCTAGAGAGCATGCGCAATAAATACTACCGGTGTAGACAGGAATAACCTAGAGATTGCCATTCGCTTGAAACTTTTTGCGTATTTAGTCGAACATAACTGATAAGGAATTACAGTAAAAAACAGAAACGATTGAATGTAAATCAGTTTATATACATTCATATTACATTATTATATGCGTTGCGATCCATTTGTGTCAATTTCTAGATCCCAAATATTAGCGATTTAGCTCCTTTAAGCCTGAGTGATGTCTCTCCGACAAATTTTGGACTATGTGGAACATGCTAGAGTCGAACTGTACCATGTCTAGGTCGTGGTATATGTATGAAACTGTTCCAGTAATATGACTATAATTATAGCGCTGACAACCGCATTTATTACCAACCAGGGTCGGACAGGTCCTCGGACCATCGAACGTGGTCTAAGGGCCCATTTTTCCAATCGGGGAACCTATAGGCCCCGATTGGAAAAATCGATGGTAACGCGTTGCTAATGAAACAATCTTGATGTTATATACTACAAGATAAATTGAACGATTTACCGTAAACAACTTATTGAATAATCTGATAATCCGATCTCACAGAACAATACTAATTAATTAATCCGCTGTTATTGTCATTCATGCGTTGTGTTGCTCACTGATCAGTCACGGTGGTGGTTATTTGTTGTGTGGTCATCGTAATGATCACAGGGCTAGACTATTTATTGACCAGTACTTATCTCACAAAGGTCAGCTTTGGTGGACGTAGACGTTAAATAAAGCTATTTCACACACATAGGTTATATTATTTATTGATATCAGATTACAGGTAAGTCGTACATGTTATTTTATATTAAAGATACATTAGTTAAGAGTTTAATAAAGAGTTGGCCATTCTTGCTATAATAATTCAAAAATAGATGATAAAAAAGGAAAATGTTGAAAATCTCAGTCAAATTACTTTGTTCTGAACGGAATTGTCACTGTTAGAAGTTCGGACTAGAAATAGACATCAATTCTGTCTGCACCGTGATGAGAATTTCATACTTGGCACATGTGAATTTTACTATAATTTTCTCATGCCAAATGAACTGGATATAGGCCTTTTAAATGAAATATGTATCTTACAATAGCTTATTAGTGGAATGGTTTAACACTCGATCAATGAAAATAATGGCTACTGAGAGAATTGCGTGATAAATAAATAATCAACGACAACAATAACTAATAAATAAATAATTAAAGAGGCATGTATGTAATATTTAGATAAAGAGCTCATCTTTCTTGCTATAATAGTTCAACGAATAGATACCCGTTAGGTATTGTATTTAGGAAATGAAATAAAAGGAAATGAAATGGGGTTTAACGTCCTTCTGTTTTGCTCCGAACTGGGCTAATGAAGACGGGCATACGCCATACAGTGCGCTATGAGGGAAATTTTGCCTGGGCAGCGGCTCTACGGCCTACTCTTATATCGAATTCCAACTGTCAAGGGATCTTTTACGTGCACGCCTTCCTTCCTGCATCTCTGACAAGTGGGAACTACGCTGGAAAATCTGGGTGAACTTTCTCGGCCAAAGCAGGGATCGAGCACCCGACGTCCAGGCTAGCGAGTCAGCGTCTTACTCACTTAGCTACCGTGACCCTCTTGTATTTAGGAAAAAGAAGCGAAACAATACTACTCCTACACAAAATGATGTCAGTTAGGGTTTGTATTTATGGTAACGGGGACATGTATACAAGATTTATGTATATAAGATTTAGTTAAAGAGCTCACCTTTCTTGCTATAAAAGTTTTAAAGTTGATAATGAAAAATTAATATATTAAAATTGTCATGGAAATTACTTTATTCTGGGCGAAATTATGACTGTAAGAAGAAATTGATGAACATTCTTTTTACTTCTCCAACCACAAGAAATGATGCCGGTTGTGTATGTAGGAAGTGAGGGACGGGGGACAATGCGAATCTATCAACACGAAAGGATGCCAGTTAGGTTTTGTGTTTAGGGACAGGGAGCGAAACAATGCGACTCCTTCTATATACACGAAATGATGTCAGGTTTCGTATTTAGGAAAAGGGGGCACCACCTCCCCAATTTACACGAAATGATGCCTAAAAATCTTATAAAAGATATATTTTTTATGTTTCAGCTTACGTGGTCTTTAACTTCACCACACATCATGGGTATACTTGTCAGCACCTCGCATGGAAATAACTCGGGTGAGTAACTTATTCTCTATAGACACAGACGTAATGGAGTTATGGCGGCTCGGAGAGAGAGAGAGAGAGAGAGAGAGAGGGGGGGGGGATTAGGTCGCATCGGGACTTGCATATTGTTCAACTTTATTTCAATAATTCGACTGCACGCAGGGGTCTTTAGCAGTAGGAGGAAACCGGTGGACCCCATACGTATAATCTGCAAATCGACACCGCACCATTTCCCCCACACCCTCTGTCAACGCCCATTCCTTCGGTTGACAAGAAAAACTTGTAGGTGAAATAATGTAAGACTTTAAACCCAATTTTCTTCCACAATGTAACCTCGACCTCTGATTATCTATGGAAGGGTATCGCTGCCAATATTAAATGCTCTGCTACAATGTCTTTTTCATTGATTATGTGTAAAGGGTACAATGTACAAAGTCCTAATACCGGTAATGATAAAGTCAAAATACCTCTAAGGCAAGAGTTAAATGTAAAACGTCAAATTTTAAGTGTTAAATGACAAATGTTTTGTGGAAAAATGCTTTTTTTGACGTGTCTACATTTTACACTTCTCTCATTACATTTTACATTTACGCTCTGCCACATCCCATTTGTCCTTCACGCTTTCTACATAGCAGCTTTCGCAAATCATCAACTTGCATATGCAAATTTAGGATATCACGTGACTTATTAACATATACGGAAACCTGGCACACTATAAGCCAGAACAAGGATATTCACGACACTATATACAGGAAATCAGCCTAGCACACAATAAGAAATTTACTTACCTTGTCACTTTGGATGGTATTTTACCATGATTACGGGGTGTGGGTGTGGGGGCTGTGCAATGTCAAAATACGAAATTCCAGGTATCATGTTACATATTAGTAAAAAGCACGTTCTGTTTGTAAATATGTAAATAGTTTTCTGGTACAATCGTATTTTCATAATTCAAATCCAATAAATATCACACTATTTAAGAGGTATTCAAGTAAAAATACTGGTCTAAATACGAAATTCCAGTACCATGTTACGTATCACTGATTGTTCGTTTCAAATATGCAAATAATTTTCTCGCACATTCATATTTGCTTAACTTTACAAAATAAGATTAAAGGTGAAGTGAAGGAAGGGTGGGGGGGGGATAAACTAAATTAAAATAAAGATACGGGGCTTAATCAAAAATTCTCTATGTCCATACTAAAAAATGTATAGTGATTCCTCTCTTTAAATATATTATTTATTTGTTGGGCACAATGCTTATATATTGTTATTTTTTAAATGGATCAAAGTAGGCTACTCAACTCTGTTTATAGAGAGACCGGAAAGAATGGGGGGAGGGGCGTTTAAAATATCAAAATACGGGTATTAATACGAAATTCCAGTTATTGTGTTTTAAATTACTGTAAAGTATTTTTCTTTGGCTGTTTGAATCTATCAATTATTTCCTGGCACATTCATGATTACGCACGGTCGTCTAGATAGCTTTTGATTGTGTGTGGGGGGTTGGATGGCCGAATGGTTAGCACGTGCGTGCTGTATCATAAAGCTTGTCATTGAGTCAACTGGCGTGGTTTCGAATCCCCGGTCGTACGTGACAAGGAGTAGGGTCGCTTGTCCAACCTCGTGGGTTTTCTCCGGGCCCCCGGTTTCCTCCCACGACGAAAGACTCCTACGCGCAAGCGAATTATTGAAATAAAATTAAACCATATGTTAGTACCGAAATGACCTAGTTTGTGTGGAGTGGACGTTAAACCCTATTTCTCTCTTTTCTCTCTTATGGTGTGCCAGCTTGATTTACTGCTATCGTGCGGTGAATATGGTGTGCCAGCTTGATTTACTGCTATCGTGCGGTGAATATCCTTATAGTATGCTGGTTTATAGTGTGCCGGGTTTCCGTATATGTTAATAAGTCACGTGATATCCTACATTTACATATGCAAGTTGATGTTGTGCGAAAGCTGCTATGTAGAAAGCGTGAAGGACAAATGGGATGTGGCAGAGCGCAAATGTAAAATGTAATGAGAGAAATGTAAAATGTAGACACGTCAAAAAAAGCATTTTCCCACAAAATATTTGTCATTTAACACTTAACATTTGACGTTTTACATTTAACTCTTGCCTTAGAGGTATTTTGACTTTATCGTTATCGTTATTAGGACTTTGTACATTGTACTTTGTACATATAATCAATGGAAACGACATTGTCGCAGAGCATTTAATATTGGCAGTGATACCCTTCCATAATTATCAGCTTAATTCGCCACAGGCAAAGATGTGGTGGGTTTTTTTCTTGATCGCTTGTCCCCGCTTGTCCCCTGAATTACGGTCGATACAACGAAAGGTCAAGCCGGAGTGCTCGGGACCGTTAAAGACTTTGATAGCTGTTAAACGGAAGTAACGTCATTTAAAGGGTAACACCGGGGACCGGTGAAATCCGTCAAAAATTCATCGCAGTTCCAATTATCATTACTATTTTTATTATTATTATTATTACAGCTATCACAGAAGTGCCACCAACATGGGTCTGTACACTGCAACTTACAGCTGAGAACAACCAAGACAAACTCTCTTCCCATTCCGATGGATTCTTCTCGGCTAATAGTTTCACAGTCGTCCGAACCAGAGAAGGGAGTTTTCACTCAGATGGCGCCAGGTGGAGCCGGGGTTTTACTTCCGGTAAACACAAGTTCACCATCGTATATCCAGAGACACATCGTGGAACAGAAGCGTCAGTAGGCGTGGGCCTCATCACAGCTCCATTGTTTGCTAAAGGTCGTCTTACTTTGGTGGGAATGAAACGAGACTCCTGGGGAATTGATCTGAGGACAAGACGTGCCATTCATATGGGAAAAATTGTAAAGAAATATCCAAAGACTGGGGTAAGTCTACACAATAAATACATTAGCTCGCTTATGGTTCAGTTCACCTAGGGTGTTATCGCAGTGTCTCCTAGGAGATTTGTCGGAAAAACCAGTTTAGCATTTGATGAATATGGAAGAGCGAGTAGGAAATTTTCGTGATTGGAGGCACAATAATGGTACCGCTAAGGAGCATTTGTATTCTATTCCTGTTGCACCTGGGTTCACCACACTTGGGTACCACACTTGTGACAGTTTCCTTTTACAGTCTTCAACGGGTCAATATAGGTCCAGGAATAGTGTTGTGCAGTGTTTAACACAATTTAGCATGGTGAACCATTGATGTAACACCATCCTTACACAACCACACCCGTACACATAGATCTGTATCAAACTCACGTTGAACGTCATATTCCATCTCACTCAACAATCGTATACACAATGGGCGCCTTTTTGCCCAGCAATCTGTCCGCTGTAGTCAATCAGAAAAAAGATGGTCCAATACTAACTCAATCTGATTAAAACACAGATCCTATTTCGTTTCGTTTTTTATAGTTCAAAATTTCGTTTTACTTGTCTTTACTACTCTAGGATCTTTAAGAGTTGTTATATAACCCTGTGATCTAAATGATGTGAGGGACTAGCCAATGAAACGGTCTGTTACGGCAAGTTTTTGGCGCGAGATCCACGAAACTGTGTGTAACCCACTAGAAACATCAACATCAACATCCACTACAACTGGTCAGATCGTCATGTAGCAGAGGCCATCGAAAGTATAAAATAAAAACCGAAACGAAATATAGATCTGTATTTTAATCATTCAAATTACTTTATTCTGGGTAAAGTTCATACTCCTCGCAGTATTTCGTTTGATTAGACTTAATCACGCTCAAGCACTGCCGTAATGAAAGCAAAGACACACTCCCTCAAAGCTCAAGTACCATAAGTTAATCCAGCAATGGCCAGAGAGGGATTTCTCGGACCATTGCTTCAGGAATATGGGTAACGTTATGACTATTTGAAGATATGGCGTTGATCAATTATTATCTATGTCATAATAATTATTTATATAACTTTTGAAGCCAGAAATAGACCTACAATAGGAAAATTTAGATTTGACATAATGTATCTTTAACAATTGGGCTGTTTTTACAGGAAATGCTACCAGAGAAGTTTTACATGTATTTAGACATGGAATCCGGTACGTTACAATTTGCTTCAGACGATGGATATTATGGTACAGCTATAAGTGGTATTAAATGTAAAACTGGTGGAGAACCTGTTTATCCCATGCTATCAGCTGTTTATCCTGGTGCTACCATTAATATGACATACAATGGTGAAGCTATAGGTAAGATAGAAAGACATTTTCAGATAATATCCCGAATAATGATCGATGAACAGCCCTCGCCCGTCAGAGACGGACTGGGGGACAGATAGCACATTTCGGTGTCCCTTTTTTATCTGCGACGTGGGGCGAGAAATGTCCTAAAAAACTGAATGGGAATGATGCTTTCTGAAGTATATCCTCATCAATGTTTCTAACTTATTTATAATTTAGCGTGCGACAATCTTACCAATTCATCAAGGGACACCAACCAAAATGCGTGAGAACATTAACTTTGACCTACTCTTATAGTACATTTGTGAACCTCGGATTTTCGTCCCACCCAGTTTATGTTCATAGCTTTCTATTTTTAGATCCCATGTTGCATCAAATGAATCAACAGCAACAGCAAATGCAGCAACAGGCGATTTATGATCAACACAACCATCTTTATCAACAACAACAGCAACAACAATATTATCAGCAGCAGCAGCAAATGCAAATGCAACAAATGGGAACAGCCACAGCTCAACCACAGATGATATATAATCCTGCTATACCAAGTGCGCCAGTAGAAGAAACGACACAAGCTACACCACAAGATACTCCTCAAACTGTACCACAAGATACTCCCCAAGCTGCACCACAAGATACTCCCCAATCTGCACCACAAGATACTCCCCAAGGGACGGATTAAAGCAATTAAATACCCATATAGCCAGCAGATACATGGGTATGTGTGTCAAAGAATAAAACATCGACAGAAATGTATTAAGTTATTTTAACAAAAAAGAAAAACCCCAAAAGTCGAAAAAAGATTATTTAGCTCATCATATCATTTCGCCGTTTCTCGGATTTATGATGCAAAGTTGTGTTCTGCACTACTGAACATGTTGGCGCTGTAATTTTAACAGTATTGACATTCAGCCTTGCTAAACCCATGTCTGTATCTAAGCATTGTAAAAATTCTCTAGACCAGTTCGTCTATTTATATTCATATACTTCACCGTCTATGTAAAGAGACAGGTCTTAATCCTGATATCAGAACATTGACGATACTGTGATACAAAACTATAAAAAGACAATGTACATTATATCAAGTCATCGTTTTATTTTATTATTTATTAAATAAAAATATAAATATAAATGTTTTTCAAACTTTCTTTAAGTTAGTTTCATAAAAGCCTGATATATTTCCAATATTCTCAGTATGGAAAATAAAATTCAGCTATGGCGAATTCTCGGCTAGGTTTAAGAACAGTGGAGGAAGATTCAAATCTCCACATAATCACTGAGGTAGGATGGTGTAGACTTAGTTCGTGAGATTTCTCAATGTCTGTAAAATAGACGATAAAACTATGAATAACATATTAAAGGAAATCTCGCGGAATGGACTAAACAAGTGAATCAACAAGAAACTTCCTAAGATACATCGTAAGTGGCAACAGAAGATGCTTCACAAGAAACCCCCACAAGATAGTATCACAAGAGATTCCCCAAGTGGCTCCGCAAGAAACACCCCTAGAGGCTCTACAAGATACTTCCCAAGAGGCCCAACTTGATACTCCCCGATTCGCCGTACAAGATACTCCCCCAGTGGCTCCACACGATACTTCGTTTGACGGTGTATCGGGACACCATAAGCATGGATTCAAATAATGGCCGAAGTACCAGATAATGAGAAATATAGACAACTGGCCGACTATATGGTTACGCAACGGTTAGACGACCAATTTACACAGATACAATGGAACCACAACCAAACCACGCGAAGAACCAACAAGGGATGGCACGCGCCACGGACGCCTAAAAACATTAATTAGAAAACCTCATCCTAATACAAATCTGAATAAAAATATTGCTTATTAAAAAAAAATACTGGACAGGCGACCATTCTCCTTGTAAAGTTCAAGTTGGGAATCTAAACGACATCACCTTACTCAATGACAGACCTTATGATCAAACGCCAAAGCTTTAATCATTCGGCTACCCGACGCCTTAGATATGAAATGGAGTTTGGGGGCTTTGAGGCCAATTTTGCTCGGGCAGCGGCACTACGGCCTTGTTGTATATCGAGTGGTTGTCCCAACCGAATGACTAGACACTGCCCATGACACCCTCCCCCAATCAGCCCTGTACTGTATCAAGCGTGAGAATAAATTTGATTTAAAAAACCAATATAGTTAAAGATGCATTTTGTAAGATTTTGCTAAAGAGCTGAAATTTCCCCTCCATAATGCATAAAAAATTGACAATGAAGACAGAAAATTTTAGTCTGTTTGGATAATAGCCTTGCTACCGTTGTTACGATAGTAAACAAAGTCTCGATTATCCAGTCTTTAATTAAATCATTTACTGTCAATAGTTTTAAATCCGTTGAAAATCTAGATCATCCGATGGCATCGAGAGTTAATAATAGTCTTGGCAAGTTAATAAATGTCTAATTAATAATTTATATAACATTTAAGGCCTTAAGAAATACCCGTATTAGGCAGATTTAGCTCTTGATAAATGTATTTTGAAGGACAAGAAACTAACTGAGATACAGAAAAAATTGTTTTCGTCATTTGAAGTAAGTAAGTTTAAACGCGTTATGCTCTAGCTATATTATTTGTATGTGAATAATGGACAGAGTAATACAAGTCGCTTAAAATGATCAAATGGTATGATATAAGCGTTATTAATGACACGGGGCAGTATAAATTACACAGTGTGGCTTTCAACTGGTATTTACAGTTTAAGTAATCATATTGAAGAACATTAAGAGAGAGAGAGGGGGGGGGGGGGTGACACACAGTAGATCATTTCGGGACTAACATATGGTTCAATTTTATTTCGATAAATCATTCCTATTGTAATGGATCTTTGACAATCAATATATATTTAAGATTTATGGACACCTTGTTGAAAATCGTTGGTCTTCTCCTTATGTACGGGTGTAAGGCGAAACCACTCCTGAAAGGCACATATCTATTCCATCCTTGGATCCCCACGGTACCAATTTTACCATGAACGCCAGAAACAAGTATTTGAAATTTGATCTGACATGTCTAAAAAGGATGTTGTGGCACTCGCCTTAATTCTTAGGTCTAAAATCCCGAGCTTACCCCACCCCCACCCTCTCCAGCCCGTTTAAGAATGCATTTATGGCAAGGTTTGTGGGCATTTGTGTTGAAGATTTTCATTGTCCAACTTTTCCAAACGCCCCCAAACCTTGTCCGCTATTTAGAATTGGTTATCAACAATGTAGACCTATGCATCAATTCAGGATTGATTGCCTGTGTAATTGACTAAATATACTTGAACAAATTGCAGCATTATTTTTATATTCAAAATTCTCAATTTGCTGGAATCCCTCACGTTTACGAGACAAATCTGTCCGATTTAGCTCCAATGAAGCAAGAAAAGAGCTCCATTTCATTTGAAATAATTAAATGAGTGGAAATTCTTACCTTTCCAATATGTTGAAGTCTGAGTTTTACAAGAAGATTAAACGAGTCCTCCCGTGTACCCTGTCTGCAATCATCTGATTGAATAACAGTTGTATTTAAGGCTTTATGCAGTAATATAGGCCAAGTATTAAGTTTCAACCCTTATAGTTATAATATGCACGCTACAATGCACAATGTATGTATAATTATAAATTACAGTTTGCATCGAATCGTTTTCCATTTGGAGTGTTCCCACTTTGCCGGAAAGTTTTGATGTCAAATTTTGCCGCTAATCCAGAGTTCTGTTCCTATACTGGGCTAATGAAGACGGGCATACGCCATACAGTGTGTGCTGCGAGGGAAATATAGCCAGGACAGAGGCACGTCGTTTTTGGTCCCATACGACATGACCATACGTTGTCCTTTGTCAGGCCTTCCGTCCTGCATCGCTGATAAGGGGGGGACCACGCAAGAAAATCCGATGAAATTTCTGGATCAGCACAGCCACTTTAGTTCCCGCAACAATGGGATTTAGCATCCGCTCAACAACTGCTTAATGTGGCAATGTAGAATGCAGGTGGCATATATGAGAAGGGGTATTGGGTGTTCCAATATAGTAGGAATACCCAGGTTGGTGCTGGACACACGTCGTTATTTATTGCTAACGAGTATTCCCACTATTTTTATCAGAATAACACTGTGCTCGGGAAGTATTCATGGATTGTCTCCCTTGCGTGTTTGGTTCCAATTTGAGTGTAGTCTGCACCAGGTCAGTAACCTTTCACGACTTCTCCTCGAGCCATTCACTTGATAGTTGAGCGGCTTACCGCGTCCTTATTTTGTGTGATTTATCTTCAGGGGATTGTGTTCTGGGTTTGTTTATATTTGTGTGTGGTACCGCCCTCCTACAGTTACTGTTATACATTCATTTCAAAACCCGAAGGTTACAGATCGGAACAGTAAATGAAATAATTGAGGGTAAGAAATAAATGCCATGTGCGACTAAATACATGGATGATTTGTAATCAACCCACGAGAAAGTGGACGCTTGTTGAGGATTGGTAATTATTTTGTTTAATTACTTCAAAAGTCTATTAAAGGTATTCTATTTGTTTAATTACCACAATTGTCTATTGAAACTATTCTATTTGTTTAATTACTACAATAGTCTATTGAAACTATTCTATTTGAATGCATCTATGATATTGATTTTTATACATTGTGTCATTGCGGACACAATTTTATAAGTTCTATTGAAGTATAATGGATTACTTCTACGTCACTGTGACATAATCATAGTGGCGGGGATGGGGAATCGGTGAGCCAAATATTGGAGAACTCTTGTGTATATGGGCTGTCCGATGGAAATGACTTCAGGTGGACGGGAGTTCATTGAAGTACATTGTATCCATATGTTTGTGAATACACAGGTGAGCTTCTCCACGTAACGTTCTTCTATCAGTAATACTCCTGTCACCTAACTGTAGACATTCCTTCCTTGTCCGCTCCCTATCTTCCTTTACCCTATCTTGTCTACGCCCATATACCCACTTGTAGGCGTTCCTTGTCCCCCCAAATCTTCATTTACCCCCACGCCCCCAACACTGTAGAATTATAATGTCTGTCCGCATCTATCCATTTACCCACATGTAGGTATTCGTTGTCCGGTCCTTATCTTAAGGCTCTCACCCTACCCACCTAGCAACCTGTAGATATTCCGCCCACCACATAGCCATCCACTCTCACCTTCCCTTTACCCCATCTATAGGAGTTCCCCATAAATTTCTATCTTCCACTTTCCCCATCTGTAGACGTTCCTTGTAAATTTCTATGTCCCCTCTACCACATCTGTAGACGTTCCTTGTAAATTTCTGGGGGTTGGGTGGCCGAATGGTTAACGCGCGTTGCACCATAAGATCTGTCATTGAGTCAAGCGGCGTGATATCGATTCCCCGATTTTACGTGACAAGGAGTAGGATCGCCTGTCCAACCTCGTGGGGTTTCTCCGGGTCCTCCGTTTTTTTCCTACTGCTAAAGACCCCTACGCGCAACCGAATTATTGAAATAAAAGTTAACCATATCTAAGTCCCGAAATGACCCAGTTCGTTTCGAGTCGACGTTAAACCCCATTTCCCTCTCCCTCTCTTTACCCAATTATTGGCCCCGTCTCTCCGACCCGTTCGTCCCTAAATGAAGACCTCTAGCACCTATATTCTCGCTCCAATCGTGTTCACCGTATCTTTAATACCCTCCACAAATACTAATCCATTAATAGTTACATTTAAAGCCACCCATCGTCATTTTGAATATAAAATTAAACAGCATGCATTAGATCATGGAATTTGGGCCCGGGCTAATTTGGACCCCGGCTGATTTGGGCGAATGGTGCCCCTGGTGAATTTGGAGCCCGGGTATCCTGGTAGTAATCAATAAAATTCGGATAACTCGATCCACATTTATCTTTGCGATGCATAAAATGTAATAAATGATTACAAATATTTTCTTTCTAACAGAAACCAGACAAATATCACAGATAACAACGTTGTCTTATAACTGTCCTAGCACTCTTATATACATGAAACGTACAGTCTTTATCGAATCTAGTCAAGGTATATTGATGTATAGGACTTTATCGAAACTAGTCAGTGTTTGTATATATTGATGTCCAGGACTCTGAGGTCACGGGTGGGATTCTTAAAATCGAGAAGAGATACAATAGGATTGTAAAAGCGAGAAATTAAATTTGAGGCCAATACCTCGAATTTTGCAAAACCCGAGTAAGAATAGTTTAAAGGAAATCGGGTTTAGCGTCCTATTCTTCACCATCAAAAGGATCTTTGACTCGGATATCACCGTCTCAAACTACCTCAGACCTTCTTGTGGTTAGTGACCCAGCACCATACTCTCTGAGACAATTAGTACCCAGGCTAAGGCTACAGATTAATTTAAATTTAAAGGTCGTGAAAGGGGATCACGTGGCTAAGTGGGTAAGACGCTGGCTCGCTAGCCTGGAGCTCGGGTGTTCGATCCCTGCATTGGCCGAGAAAGTTCATCCAGATATTCCGGCGTGGTCCCCCCTTGTCAGTGATGCAGGAAGGAGGGCCTGACAAGGACAGCTGTCTAGTCCTTCGGATGAGACGAAAAACCGAGGTCGCGTGTATACATTGTGTAATAGAATACATAAACTCATTTTATTAAAAAGATATTTTAATACTGGATAACATATTTACATGTACAACGTCATTGTGGTTAGATCTCGTGACATCTATGTAGCCTGTTCCCTCAGGTCTGCCAAGACCTCCTTCTCCCGGGGTCCAAGGGCAGACCGCCTTGCCCCAGGTCCGAGCTGAGTTCTCTCTAAGTCTCTCTCTGCGCCTCTTCTGTACTTCCCTGCCTGCTTCTAAACTAGGCTTTTTTATATCGGCTAGGGCACGCCATAGTTAATACCTTTAGTAATGAGAACTAATTATTAAGATTCACACATCTTATCTCTAGACAATATGTGTTAATGCTTGTTACCTAAATTTTATATACTTGTCTAAGACAAGCCGGCTATACATTGTTTGAATAACCCATTACATCTTACATAATACTATGTCATTAATCCCCACACATACAGATTAAATCTTACATGTACAAAAATATCATGAATTCAGAATATAATACTAAATTTAAGACCTCGAATGATATTGTATTACAATTGGAATGCACGTAAAAGATCCCTTGGCAGTTGGAATTCGATATAAGAGTAGGCGATAGTGCCGCTGCCCAGGCAAAATTTCCCTCATAGCACACTGTATGGCATATGCCCGTCTTCATTAGCCCAGTATAGGAGAAGAACAGTAGGACGTTAAACCCCATTTCATTTAATTTACAGGTCGTGAAGCTAGATTTGAGAAAAATGGGAGATAATCCGAATTCAACTGGTGTTATCCAGACTGCTGACGTCACATCTTACATGGATTGTTTGATAGTTTGTATAGAAACGACCGATTGTAGTTACGTCATTCTACTTTATAACTTATGCACAATCTATTAGTACTATGGTAGATTAATGACTGGTTGTAGTTACGTCACTCTACTTTATAACTTATGTACAATCTAGTATAACCATGGTAGATTAACGGACAAACAGATTTGCTTACACACAATAAAAAATTTAAAATCACGACACGACTTTGTGTACTCTATGGTTTTGAGCAACCTTGACACAACATTTGGTTCAATTGTATTTCCAAAATTGGCTTGCGCATAGGTGTCTTAACATGGGATAAAACTAGAGGACCGGGAGAAACCCCAAGAGGCTAGACGGGTGACCTTACTCTTTGTCGGGTAAAATCGGCGAATCCTGGTGTTGGCCTTGAAATCATCAGTGGTGCAGGACAGACAGAAGTCCCTTCAAGGGACAACGGATAGGTGTTCGGATGGGACAGGAGAATACCCATTTTGGAATTAAAAACACAGCCCCCCCCCTCCCCACATTATATACTAAACCTCATGTGTTTGAAAGCCAATAGTACAAAGGAAATTTGTTTTTTATCAATTGGGGTTGATTTCTAAGGCCAATAGAAATAAATATAACCGTATAAATATACCCCCCCTCCCCCAAACACACACTCACACTCACTTACTCTACCCAAAACAAATAGAAGAAGGATTTGCTAATAATAATTATTCAGTTTACAAAGTTCCAGATAAAAATATTATTACATAACACTGTTAATATATAATGTCTTATATTACAACTAATATTTATTATTATATAACAATGTCACTATATAATGTCTTATATTACAATTAATAAATATTATTATATAACACTGTTAATATATAATGTCTTATATTACAACTAATAAATAAATTTAATACTTAAAGTATTTTCCTTACAGCATCAGATAGATGCTATCGTCAAAATCATATCAAGAAATTTGACGTGACAATAAACAGGGCATACACCCGTTTAAAATTGTGTACCTCTTGTCAAATTGTGTTTTATATAAGGAGCCGCGGTGACTCAATGAATAAGACACTGGCACGCTAACCAGAAGGTCTCGAGTTCGCTCCTGGTGTTGGCCCAGAATGTTCTTCGGGACTTCCCCTTGTCGTTGGTCGGTGATGCAGGACGGACAAGAAAGAACAGCGTCCGGTCGTTCGGACCAGAAAAGTTTAATTATATGAAGAACATTTATAGAAAAATTTGACTATATGAACATTTACAGAACAAATTGACTCTATTAACATTTATTGAAAAATTTGACTCTATTACCATTTACATCAAAATTTGAATACATGAACATTTACAGAAAAAATTGACTACATGAACATTTACAGAAAAATTTGACTACATGAACATTTACAGAAAAATTTGAAGATTTATAGAAAAATTTGATTATTAACTTTTAAAGAAAAATTTGACTCTATTAACATTTATAGAAAAAATGGCTATATGAACATTTATAGAAAAAATTGATTATTTTAAAATTTATAGAAAAGTATGGATATATCAAAATTTGTGACCTTTACTCTATTTTGGATATGATTTGAAGGGGAGATAACAACCATAATTGATCTAGATAATACAGTTAACTGACACAAATAAACAATAAATAATATTACACGAATCACAATTTTAACTTTTCTTCTAATAATTTAATCTTTTCGTCGGATTCTTCTGAATACCTACAACAATCTACAGGTGTTTTACCTGATCTGTTTATACTCTTTACATCTAAACCAAGATCGAGTAAATACTGTACAGTATCAAGACAACCGTATATACAAGCTAGATGTAACATATTGTTACTGTCCTCATCTATATCATCTATATTACCACCATTATCTATTATCATTTTAATTTTAGAAACGGGTTCAATTTGTGACTCACTACAGTACAGTATTGGTGTTTGACTATTAAAACCTCTACTATGAACATCTAAACCAAGATCAAGTAAATACTGTACAGTTTCAAGACGACCAAACGTACAAGCTAGATGTAACATATTGTTACTGTCCTCATCTATATCATCTATATTACCACCATTATCTAGTATCATTTTAATTTTAGAAACGGGTTCAATTTCTGACTCACTACAGTGCAGTATTGGTGTTTGACTATTAAAACCTCTACTATGAACATCTAAACCAAGATCAAGTAAATACTGTACAGTTTCAAGACGACCAAACGTACAAGCTAGATGTAACATATTGTCACTGTCCTCATCTATATCATCTATATTACCACCATTATCTAGTATCATTTTAATTTTAGAAACGGGTTCAATTTGTGACTCACTACAGTACAGTATTGGTGTTTGACTATTAAAACCTCTACTATGAACATCTAAACCAAGATCAAGTAAATACTGTACAGTTTCAAGACGACCAAACGTACAAGCTAGATGTAACATATTGTCACTGTTCTCATCTATATCATCTATATTACCACCATTATCTAGTATCATTTTAATTTTAGAAACGGGTTCAATTTGTGACTCACTACAGTACAGTATTGGTGTTTGACTATTAAAACCTCTACTATGAACATCTAAACCAAGATCAAGTAAATACTGTACAGTTTCAAGACGACCAAACGTACAAGCTAGATGTAACATATTGTCACTGTTCTCATCTATATCATCTATATTACCACCATTATCTAGTATCATTTTAATTTTAGAAACGGGTTCAATTTGTGACTCACTACAGTACAGTATTGGTGTTTGACTATTAAAACCTCTACTATGAACATCTAAACCAAGATCAAGTAAACACTGTACAGTTTCAAGACGACCATACTTACAACCTAGGTGTAACATATTGTCATTGCCTCTATCTATATCATCTATATTACCACCTTTATCTAGTATTATTTTAATTTTAGAAATGGGTTCAATGTCTGATAGACTGCAGTATAATATTGGTGTTGCACCATTAAAACCTCTACTATGAACATCTAAACCAAGATCGAGTAAATACTGTACAGTATCAAGACAACCGTATATACAAGCTAGATGTAACATATTGTTATTGTTTGTATCTCTATCATCTATATTACCACCTTTATCTAGTATCATTTTAATTTTAGAAACGGGTTCAATTTGTGACTCACTACACTTTAGTATCGGTGTTCGACCATTAAAACCCCTACTATGAACGTCTAAACCAAGATCAAGTAAATACTGTACAGTTTCAAGACGACCGCATATACAAGCTAGGTGTAACATATTGTCACTGTCCTCATCTATATCATGTATATTACCACCTTTATCTAATATCATTTTAATTTTAGAAATGGGTTCAATGTCTGATAGACTGCAATTTAATATTGGTGTTGGACCATTAAAACCTCTACTATGAACGTCTAAACCAAGATCGAGTAAATACTGTACTGTTTCAAGACGACCGAACCTACAAGATAAGTGTAACATATTGTCACTGTCCTCATTTATATCATCTATTTTACCACCATTATCTAGTATCATTTTAATTTTAGACACGGGTTCAATTTGTGATAGACTGCAATGTAATATTGGTGTTAGACCCTTAAAACCCCTACTATGAACGTCTAAACGAAGATCAAGTAAATACTGTACAGTATCAAGACAACCGTATATACAAGCTAGATGTAACATATTGCTATTGTTTTTATTTATATCATCTATATTACCACCTTTATCTAATATTATTTTAATTTTAGACACGGGTTCAATTTGTGATAGACTGCAATATAATATTGGTGTTAGACCATTAAAACCCCTACTATGAACATCTAAACCAAGATCGAGTAAATACTGTACAGTTTCAAGACGACCGTATATACAAGCTAGATGTAACATATTGTTATTGTTTTTACTTATATCATCTATATTACCACCTTTATCTAGTATCATTTTAATTTTAGAAACGGGTTCAATTTGTGACTCACTACAATATAATATTGGTGTTCGACCATTAAAACCTCTACTATGAACGTCTAAACCAAGATCGAGTAAATACTGTACAGTATCAAGACAACCGTATATACAAGCTAGATGTAACATATTGTTATTGTTTTTATTTATATCATCTATATTACCACCTTTATCTAGTATCATTTTAATTTTAGAAACGGGTTCAATTTGTGACTCACTACACTTTAGTATCGGTGTTCGACCATTAAAACCTCTACTATGAACATCTAAACCAAGATCAAGTAAATACTGTACAGTTTCAAGACGACCATATCTACAAGCCAGGTGTAACATATTGCTATTGTTTTTATTTATATCATCTATATTACCACCTTTATCTAATATTATTTTAATTTTAGACACGGGTTCAATTTGTGATTGACTGCAATATAATATTGGTGTCATGCCCCTTGCATACCTCTTATTTATATTATGACCAGATTCAATTAAATCTTTTAGATTATTTAAATCCCCCTTTAGGCACGCATCATCTAATGTAAGAAAGTTCGTCCTTGTCCTGGATGTGGTATTCTGTTCTTCGTCTGTATTACAACCTAGAATAGCTTCAGCCGTAGAACCCAAATCAGAGACGGTGCTAATAACTGGATGAATTTGTTGTTGACTGTTGCCATGGGAACATACATCTAAAAATAGATCATAACGTCATGACAATAGCCTAAAAAATAATTCTATGGGAACAACAATTATTAACCTCGGATATGAATAAAATAAAATGGAGTTTTATGGTACGTCAGTTCCAACCGGGTAACATGGCGCCAAACATATGGTGATTTTAACGAGACAAATTAAAAATTCATATACATAAATAAAAACAACTATCACATATATGAAATGAAATGAAATGGGGTTTAACGTCCTACCGTTCTGTTCCGACTGGGCTAAAAAAGACGGGCATACGCCATACTATGTGCTATGAAGAAAATGTTTCCCGGACAGTGGCAATATGGCCTACTCTTATATCGAATTCCAACTGTCAAGGATGTGCTTTGAAAACATGTAACCCACAAAGCGGCTCTATGGCCTGCCAGTTATTTCCATTTCAACTTTCCTACTATTTGCCATGAGGGGAATTTTGCCCTGACAGCGGCACTAGGTTTAACTCTTACATCGAATTCCATCTGCGAAGGATTCTTTTCAGTGCGCGCCAATGTGTACACGAGACCTCGGGTTTCCGTCCCATCCGAATAACGTTGTGTTTTCCCTTTCCAGATTCCCTGTCCTGCACCACTGACAAGGGGGAATCACAGGTACACGGGACCTCAAGGTACAGGTAAACGAGCGAGAGCGTACCGTATTACTGATATTAAATATGATTAAAACTAACTAAATAAGAGTCCTTTATGTATATAAATAATTAAAATGGCAATATAGGTTATATATAATATGCAAATAATATCTATAATAAAAGTTTGGCTCTTTTAACAAGTTTCCATGTAGTGCCGGTTGAACAAATAAATAATGTAATGACTTGCAACGGTAATAATTTTATCTTGCGTTCTTGAGATACGAATTACAATATTATTAACTGTCAACAGAACTTGATATTGCTCAAATTCTGATGGAGGGTCTGAAAATGTGGTAAAAAGAGTATGACCAATACGAGAGCTACACAAAACAATCTTTGTCAGTCTCTCAAGAGAGACTTGGTGTGATGAAGTTTATTTATATCCGCAAGATCTCAAGAACTTTGCCATTGGTTATATCCTAGGAATGAATTTATCAATTTGTAATTAACCAAACAAAATCCACCATTTAGTAGACCGATGCATCGTGAAGATATTTTGATATGGTATGTCCCCTTGACTATACATTAAAATCTTATTTATAATCCGTACCTTTACAATCAACAGTTTCAGAAAAGTTTGTTGATGATATTTAACTTACCCAACGTTTCAATATTTTCATCTTCATCCAGATTTTCTCCGTGTTCAAGGGTGGTACTTTCTATAAAATATTTAAAAATAAAATGAAACAAAAAAAAATATATATTATTTTGTTTAACTCATTGCTGGGATATCAGCGCACATCTGCTTTCTACAGAATTGCCGAACACAAGAAATTGGGCAGTATCCCAAATTGAGCATGGAAAGTGTTCTTGGATCTTAAACGAATTTGCCCCAAATTAGTAGCTGGAGGTGGATGAGGTGGACCTTGTGATTAACAAAATAGATAAAAACTAGTCATATATTATGTAATCGCTATTTCAAACTAATCGTATTAAATCACGAGGTGTAATCGCTATCTTTAATATTGTTTTGGAGTTTTGGCAACTGGAGGTGGATGAGGTGGACCTTGTGATTAACGAACAAGAGAAAACTACTCATATTGTATGTAATCTCTATTACAAACTGATGTGATTAAATCTCGAGGTATTGAATGATAGCCATGAACGCATCCCATAGTTAGAGTGGTACTATAAAACTACCTCATTTATTGACTGCTGTAGAAAGAATCACAAAACATGGTGTACATTATTTTTGAGAAGACTAAATTCATAATATAAAACAATTACCGCCTTCTGCCGTCGCAGTTTTTTGCAGTAACGTGAAAAGATTTGTAATATCAGACTGTAGGTTAGGCAATTCATTTTCTCTACTGATTGTTGCTGTTTTTAAATCTTCCACACGTGACTCCAAATTCTTTATCTGGTTGAGGATTCTTTGTTGGTTTTCTCTTATTTCTTCGTGGTTCTTTAGAAGTTCATCTTCCCTTTCTCTTAGACGACTTATTTCTTGTAACTTCTCGTCTTTCTCCCTCTGTTGTTCGTTCTCCATCTTGGCCATCTTTTTTCTTAGTTCATCTAGCTCCATATTAATGCTTTCATTTTTTCTCTGTAACATCTGGAGATCGTGCTCCTTTTCTTTTACTGCTTTCCGAAAACCTTTTTCCTTTTCGTTCACCCATTCCATTAGTGCTTCCCGTTCTTCTATTAATCTTAGTTCCTCGCAGTGTTGATTGTTTGACTCTCCTGAAACACACAGAATGTAGATTTTGTCAACAATTTAAAAGCTTAATTGCTTTGGTTAAACGTGTTTCTGTTTCCATTAAAATATTCTACGAGTATAGGAAGATTCAAACCCATTTCTCAAATCTCATTTTTTTTTGTTTACAGTCCTGGTGCCTATTTATATTTTTGCTAAAATATCAATTTTCTCAATAATCCATACCAAGTGAGTATTAATATTGATTATTTAACATTTAATTAAGAAAACAAAATCAAAATACAAACGTTAGATAATATCCTGACTTGGATTCTATCGGATTTGAAAAAGGCATATCAATAATTTTTCGCTCACAACCAAATGGTTGCGTCCTTGTATTGTGAGTAGCATAGATCGATAACACTTACATATATCTTTTTCACTAGACCCTACTGAACGGAATCAGAGATGCCGCTTTTATAATATTGTAGTGATTCTATAGAGCTAAAATGACGCATGGGGACCTTAAACATTGTCATTAGCCAGAAACGAAAATACGTTTAGTTTACAGACTGACAGGACCAGATTTACCAATAGACATAGTTAGGGTGGCCCATGTACTCACAGAAATACAGTCCACCGCTGATAGTTCGAGACTACCACTGAAGCGTGCACATTCGCCGTGCCGAGACCAACTTTCTGACAGTATGATACTATAAATAGCCATGGCACGTGCAATTCTCTACAAATCTATCAACTATTACAGCCGTAAAAAATTTATTGTTGACGATTTTGGATAGCAGTTAAATTAAGCTTCTTGGTTATTACAGCAGATTTAGAAATTACGTTCGTTTCATTTTTTAAATCGCTTTATCATTAACTGTACCGTTAAGAGCGGCATCTTTTGGTTTAGTACAAATAATATATCTGAATCACTCGGGTTAGGCAGGAACATGATACTAGCAGTAGTTTCATTTTACTTTTACAAGCTTCTTAAAACGATTGTTGAGCTACCTAACGTGCTTATTTCTAAATTCAATTTCTTGTTCTAGCTTTCTGTTACGTTTCGTAAAAAAGTAGTCTTGATTATCCCATCCTGTCAATCAGACGTAGAATGGTCGATAGACTGGTTAAGCGAGACTAATTTCAAAACAAGGGCACGTAACCTATCTTTTACTCAAAAGTGTCTGGATGTTATGGACGACTCTTGGAACCAGTTTTCAGTCTATTATTTATACATGATTAATGGTCATAGCTTATTAAGTACAACATGATCGTTTATTTAGTGACTATAATTGTGTGAAACTGATTTGAGGCTTGGCATATATATAAATATTGTGGCGTAATTGTCGAGATATATGGAGATATTTATTTATGGTGGGTCACCCTAACATAGTAGGTCATTGGCTTAGACCCCATGTGTATCTGGGAGCCGACTGAAACTAATTTGTTGTGAAGCTGCCAGTGTATTGCCTTGTTAAAAGTAATGTACACTGGTCATTTCATAATGGGTCACGTACAATTGGCATAGGGTCCGGAGCTGAGTATGACTAATGACTCAAAAAGTATTTAAATCCGGCCGCGCAGACCAATGACCGCATCGTCTGCTGATATAAAACAAATGAATCATAAGGGCTACGTCACCATCACCTCAAAACAAACCCAGTTAAAATCACTATGATGATATTATTAACTCACCTTGAGTTTGTTGAAGCCTTTCAATAACTTGATTATATCCCACTTTAGCTAAACACTTTAAAAACGGTTGGTAAGAGTTTCTACCAGAATCAAGTAAAACGAAAAGAAGTTTTTCAGTTGCATCTCGGGAAGTTTCATGTTGTAGACATCTCTTTATTTTTTCGACATCATTTCGATCAAAAACCCCAGATGAAAACAGCGATAGACATAGACGTGTAGGGTCTTGTATATTTTCAATTAAGTACATCAAATTGGTCCTGATATTGTGGTTGTCCTTTTCTAACATTTGCCCAAATTGTTTTTCTGATAAGCAAAGAAAGAACCCATATTAGTCTTAAAATTGAAGATATAAAAAAACATGACGAACAAAACACAAAGTTTTGAATACGTCCATGTAATTACAAAAACATGACAAATAAAACACGTAAATCCATTTAGACCCAGTGAGTACTGTTGCTGTGGGTACTGTTGCTATATATATACAGCTAGAAATTCTAGATTAGTCCAGATGGGAAGTAAGGTTTTCGGTATACGCCAATGTTTGGAATCGTTTGTTCGTAATCACGGCGGACTGTATATTTTAAGCAAACTAACTCTAAGGGGCTAAGTGACGTGTAGAGAAGGAAATTTTGTCATTTAAACGGAATCGTTTCTTTATGTACATCGTTTAAGTGTTGGAACAACTCGTTCGAACAAACAATTCTGAATTCTTTTATGCTGTTGACTTGTCTTACCTTGTATTTTAATAGAAGTAGAATCTTTGGTCTGTTTTCCTGAACTACCTGAAGTCTCCAACTTCATAATTCTTCTGTCCATATCTTGAATATTGTCTTGGAGTTTCTCGAATTTATCAGTAGATTCACATTGGCTCTCGGTTTTCTTGCTTTCTATTAGTTGTTTTAGTTTAGCAATTTCGCTGTCCCTTTCATCTTTGAATTGTTGAATCATACGTTCACGTTCTTGATGCCATCTTTCATCTTGTTGAGAAGAAATTCCCTTTTCTAGACAGACAGATAAATAATGCAATATAAACAAACTAAATTTGATATTTATTGTTCTGGCAATATAACAAATTAACATCAATGTTTGATTGCTAGAGTTTATTTACCTGTATCAAAGAGTACACTGTATATAAGACAATCTTTAGTTTGGGCAATATTGTTCGGGCACGATTTGTATTTGAACAATGTTTATGATCATTTATATGGCTGACTATTCTGTGAATTCGTAAATAAAACCAACTGATTGAAGGCCGGGTTATCCAATGTTAATTGTACCAACTCGTGTGACGGGACCGCTGATTGATGACGTAATTTGTAATACACAGAATCCTGAAGGAAATACATCCGGGCATACAAATGATGACGGATTTCACATTAATTGGTACAGGGCAGTCAATCTGTTTTCTTGGATTACTAGCTGTTTCCAATTTTATAAGTCTTTGGTCAATATCTTTCAATTGTTGGTGAATAAGTACAACTCTTTGGTTAATATCTTTCAGCACACGATCCGTGTCATCTTTCAATGTTTGTTGGATCATAAATAAAACTTCTTGGTGCCATTGTTTATCTTGTTTAGAAGAAGAGTCATTTTCTGATTAGAGAATATTAAAGATTTTGGTTATTCTTTTAAAAACAATAATATGGTAAATCCAACAACTATAATATTTATGGCGAGGTTTATGTGCGTTTTTAATACAGTATGTTGTCAATAAAGGTGGCTTTGCTCCTTGAATCGAGTCTCTAATTACCCTGCGTAAGTATAAGACCGGCGTTTGGCCCCCTTGTACAATATGTATAGACTCACCCTGTACAATATGTAGTCTTCAACTGGTGGACCCAATGAGGAGTTTGGTCTAAGGACCACAAGTAAGTAAATCCATGTACAGTGTACTTACTGTTTATTACGTCACTTCCTTCATCTCTCGAGCTATTCAAATTGTTACTATCTGTCTCGGTATCTACAGTCTGGTTTTCTGAATCTGATCCATCCTGAAGACGGTTTGTTTTTCTTGTATATAGATATAAATGCCACACAAGAAACATGGTTAGTATAATGCAATCTGCGCTTGGATCTGACAAATAAAATTATGATTTATTTTAATATAATATTTGTTTAAAGGGAAACGTAATTACTGGTGTAGTACACGAGGAAGAGTATGCTCAACCATTTCGAAAAAACCGGCACCACTTGTCAAGTATGATATTTCCCTATCGTTGTCTTCTGGGGCAACTTGCCGAAGTTGCGTTTTAATTAGGCTGTGATTTGTTTGAGATTTGTCTTCACGTGGACTTTGATAAATAAATCCTTGAAGCGATCCTCTTAGGTCTAAAATCTCCAAGGTGATTCGGCCCCCACCATCACTCAAGTAGTGTTTTGACTTCGCCATTTTGAAGCTGCCATCAATCAAAATCGATCAAATTTGATTGTCATCTTCATTATTCCATTTTGTTCAGAAACGTACATGTTCCTGAAGCAACTACTGCGAGTTTAACAACATCTGGACGTTGCTAGATTACTTCACAATTCCCGAACTTATAGCTACGTTATCTACAGACACGTGAACAGTAGCGTCCAATCAGAGGTTGTGACCTCCATGGAAACCTTGACAGTGAACGAGGAAGAGTATGCTTATCCATTTCGAAAAAGACGGTACCACTTGTCAAGTATGATATTTCCCTATTTCAAAAACACACAATAACTCGTTTTCTTCTTGGGCAACTTGCCGAAGTTGCGTTTTTGAACAACGAATTTATTTTACATTTAATTAGGCTGTGATTTGTTTGAGATTTGTCTTCACGTGGAATTTGAAAAATAAATCCTTGGAACGGTCCCCTTAGGTCTAAAATCCCCACGGTGATTCGGCCCCAATTCTTACACAATTCCCCTATAAGTACCACTTGTAATTCTTACATTCATTCCCCGGTAATATTATTTCGTTTAATACACTATCATTATGAGTGGCGTTGATATAGTATCTTATATTAATTGGGTACTCGGCCAGCTAAGGAAAATCTTAAGTTTAACGGCTATCCGACCAGCTAATTGAACACAAGGGAGGTAAGGGAAATCTTGTTTTGCTAAATGGGAACTGGAATCAGAGAGACAGGTGTGGCCAATTGTAAAGTTACAGACGGTAACATATTGGTGTAGGTGAGGATCTTCTTTCGAGTAAAAATTTCCATTTTGAATTGGGTAGTAATGTATCTATGTTTGAAGGATAATGGTAATCAAATTTTAACTAACTATATATAGGTGGTAATATATTTATTATATTTAGTTATACAATTTAAATGATATGAAATCTGGTTTATCATCGATAATAGATGCTGATTTTTTAAATATATATTAGGTATACATTTGAATGAAATAGGGTTTATAGTCTTAAATTTCTCATCTTCAATAGAAGGCTTGATCTCGCTTTAACTACGTACATCTTAACAAGACCTTCACGTAATACCCTGCATATTTAGGCACTACTTTCGATTGCGCACAAGTCCAGCTTGTGAGCCTATCAGATTCCTCGAACGTCGCGAATACCAAGTCTCGCGCTTTCAAGCTAAAATATCTACCGGTGATAATTTCGTTGCAAAGTTCAAGGTTCGTTCAATGTCAAGGTTTCCGAGTAGGTCGCGATGTCACAACCTCTGATTTTACACTACTGTTCACGTGTCTGTAGATAACGTAGCTATAAGTTCAGGAATTGTGAAGTAATCTAGCAACGTCCAGATGTTGTGAAACTCGCAGTCGTTGCTTCAGGAACATGTACGTTTCTGAACAGAATGGACTAATGATCGATTTTGATTGGTGGCAGCTTCAAAATGGCGAATTCAAAATACTACTTGAGTGGAATGTAAAATGTTTATTTTGTCTTAAATATTGGATATCAGAAGCCCATCTTTTCCTGGTAAGATCACAACATCAATGTTGATTTAAATTGACAAATAATTTGTGTTTTTAATGTTAAAGACCCTGGATGATACTGAGTTAGAGACTTGGCTACTTGATTTCTGGTGAAGTAAATAACACAAATACTACACAATACAAGCTTGACACAGCATGTGCTTTAATTTGTCGTGATACACGTCAGTAAGACTATCAATTACCCTTCAATGACAAGACAATTATGTCACCAAGACATGACATATTTACACAAACACATTTAGACATGTCGCTTACTCCCTACTAAACTTCAGGAACAACAACTAACAAATTCAGAATAACATCTTAAATACCCTACCTCAAACATAAACTCACACACAGTATGATTTCCAGACAGTCACGCATGGCTTTATCATTGACAACCAGAACACTTTCTTAATAACAGTCAACAAGGTAAATGAGTATAGTTAAAGGGACAGTACCCAAATCTATAAAGGAGCAATACATCACATCACCATGTTTTTGTGCCAAAGACCCAAAATATCCCGTTTTCGTCTTGGTCAACTTGTTGTGGAGTGACGTAACGTGTGCTAAGTTGACCTTTTTGAACAATAAATTAGTTTCTCCGAGTCGCACCCGAAAACCCCAGTTGCTATCAAGTACGCCGCGTAAGATCTGTTTCAGACATGTCTTCAAATTGAGACCGTTTTTCGACTTTGCCATTTAACAGCTGCCAACAATCAAAATTGACCAAATTAATTATATGCCTAAAAGTATTTAAAAACTTCAGAATCTATTTCCCCGTGTGAAAATTTGATTACCAATAGGTTTCAAGCATTGTTACATTCCTTTCCAATTCAAAATGGCCATACCTTTATCTCTGATTCCAGTTCTGAATTAGCAAAACAAGATTTCACTTACCTACCTTGACTTCAATATCAGATTTTATACAATTCAAGTTATAGCCGACGATTACCTGTTACTGCTACAGTTGCTTGTGAAACTATGCAGGCTACGTTGAACAATATCTATAGCCCCTAGATTATATCCTTGTAATGACTATATGAATTACCTGTACAGGTATATTATCATATAAAGAGAGATAATGTATTAAGAGAAACAGTGTATTAAAGGGAATGAATGTATGATTTACATGCAGAACATAAATAACTTGTTAAAAGGATGTTGTAGAAGGGATCTATAGCTAACGTTAGTCCGTCAGTAGGTCGACCAACCTGGAAATATGGTTCAGGCATGATAGCATAAGTGCGGACAGTTGCTGCAATAGGAATGCCGACCACTGTTTACGGTCGGTCTAGACGTATATTATCACCAATAAAAAGTCCCAGTCCGAAATCCGTGCCCAAATGGGTCAAATTGGCCAAAATCCAAAATGACCTACGGTTTTGACTTGTAAATTCAAATTTCCAACCAATTATCATAATATGCTCGAGTTTGATATCAAAATAAACGTTTCCGGGATAACTGAATCCATTTCAATACACTTTTTCGTGATAAATTTTGGGGGTAATTCAAGATAACGGTCAGTTTTGGCGGGAAAATTCCAATTTGACATAAGGACCAGGTTCAGTGTCAACATATACGTTTTCGACGTAGCTGAATCCATTTTTGTACACATTTTAGTGATTAGGTGATTCCCCTGTGTCAATATATGAGAAATTCCAATGAGGGATTTAGATTTCCGATTAGGGATTGAAGATTAATGATTCTCCTACTTTAGACCTAGAATGACATTCATCCAGTATCAACTAAATTTCACTTGGAGTGTCTCCTAGCTCACTGCGGTAGCGGTGTAGGGGCATGTCGACTAGGGCGGCCACTCCCAGGTCACTGCGGAAGCCTATTGAAGCACGTGGCGATTTTATTTCACAAAATGATTCAAATGTTGAGACAGATGGGCAGATGTTTGTCAGAACCACTTGATAATGTAGATAATTAGATAGATTTGTCGCTTCAAAATAGTGGTGTAAGACGGTGGGCCTAGTCGTTATGGGGTCCTGCCATAACGTAATTTGAGCTTACTTGGAGAATGGAATTTGTTCAAGGGAGACACTTTATTTTAATTCCCGTACGTAAACAAATCGAATATGTTGTATTATAATTACGGCACATGTATGCATAGTAAAGACAATAATTATGTTGTTATTTCTTTATTTTAGTGAATCGCAGTTTATTGTTAGTGAATCGCAGTTGATTGTAGTGAATCGCAGTTTATTGTAGTAAATCGCAGTTTATTCTTAGCGAATCACAGGTACGTAGTTGAACATCAGTTTGAATCACAGTTTACCAGATTTCATAGTTGTAGAATATAACTTTGTAGAAAAACAGATAGAATTGACAATTGAACTTATAGAATTTATCGTATGAATAAAGTAGTGGAATATATAAACCATTAAATATAGACTTTTCATGTATTTATTGGGTATACGTGTATTTTACTCGCACTCATGATTTTAAGCGACTTGTATTACTCTAGTATTCACATACATATAATATATACAAATATTTAGAGCAGAACGCGTTTAAACAATACATACTATATCACCTTACTTCAAATGACGAAAACATCCTTTTTTGTATCTCAGTTAGTTTCTTGTCCTTAAAGATGCATTAATCAACAACTAAATATGCCTATACAGGGTTTTCTTTAGATCTTAAATTAATTAGACATTTATTAACATGCCAAGACTATAATTAACTGCTGTCGGATGATCTAGATTTTCAACGGATTTAAAAACGATTGGCAGTTAATGATTTGATTAAAAATTTGATAATTGAGACTTATCTTTATCATCTTTAACTATATTGGTTTTTTTAAATCAAATTTATTCTCACGTTTGATACAACTGGAAACCAATGACTATATTTAGTGTCTCGGGATGAATTAAAGTAGAAGTCCCATTATTTAACCGACTACCTTTAATACAAAAACAATCGGTTTATTTATATAGATTCAAGGCCAAGCTGTGGAGAAATAACGCACTGGAATCCGCAGAAGACAATTCAGATAACTAAGATTGGAAAAGGGAATTCGTAAATCTTGGACAATACATCGCTGGGTCATGGACAGTGTCTAGTCATTCGGTTGGAACAAAAAAACGGCAGTTGAAATTCGATATAAGACTAGGCCGTAGTGCCGCTGTTCGGGCAAAATTGCCCTCAAAGCACCCAAACCCATTTCACTACATTTCATATCTAAGGGGTCGGGGTAATCGAATGGTTAACGCTTTGGCATTTGATCATAAGTTCTGTCATTAAGTCAGGTGGCGTCAGCTAGGGTCGCCTGTGTCCATCCCTGTGGGTTTACTCCAGGACATCCGGTTTCCCCTCACTTCATTTATTATCTAGGACTCCCCCTTTAATATTCTTATATCAATTGAATATAAACCCGTCTCGTGTCTGATACTTCTGGTCGTCTTCTGCTTTTCATCTTTCAAGAGGGACATCGTGTTATTGTAGAATAGGCCGGTCTGTCAACAGGGACATCGTGTTATTGTAGAATAGTCCGGTCTGTCAACAGGGACATCGTGTTATTGTAGAATAGGCCGGTCTGTCAACAGGGACATCGTGTTATTGTAGAATAGGCCGGTCTGTCAACAGAGACATAGTGTTATTGTAGAATAGGCCAGTCAGTCAATAGGGACAAAGTGTTATTGTAGAATTTACTGTAAATCCCATTTAAATCTGATGAATATCTTGAGTATCCGATGCCATCGAGAGATGATTATGGTCTTGGTAAGTTAGTTAATAGTTTATATAACATTTAAGACCTAAAGAAAGACCTGCAGTAAGCCGATTTAGCTTTTGTGTAATGCCTGTTTAATTAACCTGTTTAAAAGACGAAGTAGAGGGAGGGTGATAGTGGGGGTAGAGTAGCCTATAGCTAACGTTTAAAATTGTGGGTTTCCTCCCACTTCGTAAGAAGTCCCTTTTATCCAGAGAATGAATCGGAACAGGTACAAATTAATTAACATGCCTACGTGTACCAATTGTTGAAATCTGTAGCGCAGATTAGTTGACGTGGTACACAATTTACACAGATTATATAGAATTGTGCATCTGGGGTGCCTACTGACATCATGTGCGGGTCAATGAATTTATGTACGGTTGTAAGGCGAAACCAATTCAGAAAGGGCACATATCTCCTCCATCCTTGAACGCCAGAAACACGTATTTG